TTGAGAAAAATGCATCCTTCATAAAAATTTTTGCTTGTTCTAAAATGGTTAATCCCGTTTAAGTTTTTCGAAATTGCCATACCGTTTTAGAGAAAATAAAAAAAAATGAAATCTAGTTAAATTTTTCCAAAAATTAAATGCGTTTCTATAGTAATATAATTTCGATTTCATTCTTTGATAGATCGCTATGATGATGTATGAAAATGTAGTTAAAGTATCACATTTTCCGATAACTATTATCACCCTTTCCCCAGCGCTGAATTAAATAAATTTTGTGCTACTTTAAAATTTTAAAATAGCAATAAATAGCCACCAAACCAAGCCACCCTATCTCGGTTAATTTTGATTTCAGCAAAAAATTATATGACCATTTTTATGTGAAATGTGACTTTCTCTTCAACTTTTATTTGAACTTTTTTTTCTAGTCTTTACCGTAAAAGTTTTAAATTACTTTATTTAGGTATTTATTTCCAAAAAATCTTTCACAATTCGTTTTTAGATCTTTTAAAGTAACTTATATCAAAAATTCAATTTTTTTCATTATTTTCTTGGGCTATACAGGGTGTCCCGGAAATAAGTGCAAGTATTTTAACTGATAGTATAGTTCAACACCTGAAAAATGCATATGAGGTTTTTTTCGCAAAAAAAAATTGAAAATTCGAAATTTTTTGAAAAACTTTTTGGAATTTTTTAAGTTTTTAGTTATAAAACATAATTTCTTGATAATATGGTAACATAGGTATTAGATTAAATTTACAAGAAAGAAAATCCAAAAAAGATCCAGTGGTTCTCAAAATTTTAGCAAAAAATATTTTTTTTGGAAATTTTCAAAGTAAAATAACTGCGTTATTTTGGACTTATTTGAAAAACGATAAAGAGAAAATATGTTTCTTTTATCGAGATCTACCACCCCTTAAAATACTTGCAGTTATTTCTGGGACACCCTGTATAATCGGCTACAATATTATCTGAGAAGAAATCTCGAAATTTTATAAGTAAAAAAAAATTACAAGGCTATTTTTCCTTGAATTTATGATCAGAAACAAGATAAAACAATTATTAATTTTGACCTCAATTAACTCAAGTGTAATGTTTCATTTTTCTTTTTGAATCAGGAAGTACGAGAAACAGAAAAATGAAACGTTTTTCTTATTACTTAATAGACTAGATATTTTCCGACTGAAACAGAAAACTATTATACAGGGTGTTACAAAAAACATGTTTGAACTTTTGCGGGGAGAGTCTTCAAGAGAATAAAGATTTATTTTTTATATCAACATAGGTCCGTTTATTTCTGCTTTCTTTCGTAAGTACAGGGGGTTAAAGTTTTAATTTTTTTATTTACTATAATTTTCTTCCAAGTTGTGCTTTTAGTGATTCGAATGAAATTTCGAGGGTCAAAAGTTATTATTATAAGTACTACATACAGTATTGGCCATAAGTGGATGAACTTTGTTAAAATAATGGATTTTTCCTAATATGTTTAAATTAAAATTTGACTTTGAAACTGTCAGTGCTATAAAAATAAATAGCATTGTTTTTTTTTAAATTTGCTTTAATAAGGTGGCAAAAAATTTAAATTGAAAAAACCATTGGAAAAAAGTAGATTAACAAAATATATATTTAATAAAAAAAAATCTTATGTTAACAAAAACTGAAAAATTAACTTATAATTTACTAGTACTTAGTGTAATAATCCTTATTCTTAATTACTTTCAGACATCGCTTAGGCATAGATCCCAGAAGATTTTCAATTATTGAAAAATCGATATTTTTCTAAGACTCTTCCAAAGCAAATAATTCTTGCTTATTTTTGTAGAATTTGGTCCTAATGTGTTGATCCAAAATTTCTCATAAATTTTCTATTGGATTCAGGTCTGGGGATTGCGATGGCCATTTGAGAACAGTCACCATTTCATCTTCCAAAAACCTTTTAACCAATTGCGAGGCTTGTTTCGGGTCGTTATCATGTTGGAAGTAGTGTACAACTGGCATTTTTTCGTCCAAATAAGGCACTAAAAGGTTTTGTAAAATGTCTCTGTAGCCAAACCGATCCATTATGCCCTCAATTTTATGGAGAGGGCCCATCCCATACCCAGAAAAACAGCCCCATACCATGATTGAGCCCCCACCATGTTTTACAGTGGGTCGCGTATACTTTGGTAGCAATTGTGTGTTGGGAGGTCTTCTTACATGTTGAATTCCTTCTGATGACATCAAATTAAACTTTGATTCATCACTAAAACAAACTTTTTTCCATTGTGCCACAGTCCAGTTTTGATGTTCCTTGGCAAATGTTAATCGGGCCTTTAAATGTTTTTTTGATACCACTGGTTTCTTGGCGGGTCTTCGGTCGGATAGTCCTTGTACTCACTGGTGGATAGCACATTTCTTCAAGTTTTGCTTTTACCTTCGTTGACGGCAAAATGGATCTTGTGAAGAAATTCGTTTTATGGCTTTTATCACATTGGGACCAACTTTTTTAGGCCGTCCTGGTTTTCTTTTTATAGAGACATCTCCTCTCTCTTATCTCTTTAAAATATAATGTACCGCTGATTTTCCAAGGCGTAATTGCTTAGCGATTTCCGCTTGCTTCAGACCATCCTTAAAAGCATTCACTACTCGCAACTTAAGATCTGCAGACAAGTTAATTCCACGTGGCATGATATATCACAAGAGCTCGAACGTTTTTAAATCGCAATTGTTCATAAAAGCAGAACAAATGAATTTAACGATTTTTAAAAATATTTGGTTCATCTACTTTTGTTCAAGATAAAAAAAAGTAACATTTGCCAATTCTTACCTATAACTCGTAAGACTAACAGAAGAATTTTTATTTGTTTGTAGTATTTTGGTGAGAATGTATTAACTTTTTAACATACAAAGGTACATAAAATAATTTTGATATTTAACACCTCAAATCTGATTTTCTGCGCAATTATTGGTATTGGTTCATTCACTTTTGGCCAATACTGTACATATTTTAATTCTAAAAAAGTGTCGACAGATTAACGAGGCACGTGCATAATATGGGTTATCACTGCAAATATTTTCCTAAAAATTACATCTCCGCCACTGAAATTTTTTCTTTTTTTAACAAAATTGTATAGGCCGTTTAATGCCGATTAAAAGTTGTATCTTAATATTTTGTCGATTTTAATCTCCTTGATGAGATAAACGCAATTTTATTAATCACAATTAATAAATTATTTATTTTATCTAATTTTTATTAAATTTTATTAAAATTTATACGGATCACTGAATAAATTGAATATACCCGGTGCATCAAAAGTGGCTCACCCCCTATAACTTTTTTATTTTTTCAGATATAAAAACGAGATTTGGTGTGTTAGTATATGACATAAATTAGGATTGATTGACGTATTCAATTGTTTTTGGTCACTTTCTATTTCACCGGAAATGACTACAACTTTTGATTTTTAAATTGCATCCTCGGTATTTTATTACTTTATTCAATAGAATATGACATTCTGAATATCATATCATATGTCAATTTTTATCATATGTCAATTTTTGACATTCTCCCTTAATAAAAAATCGTATTTTAAATCTCAATCTAGAGTGCTATTGCTATGTTAAAAACACTAATCCTTAATCAAGGAGTCTTGGAAAAATAGATTTGATCGTTTAATGTTTTTAGTGTCTTGTCCTGGCCTGTAAAAAGATGCCCAAATCGTATTTTTAATCATATCTCATTTTTTTCAAATGGAACGAGGGTGGCTCATTAGCATATTTGGAAAAAGCATTTTTTTACGAATAATTTGATATCACACACTTTGTATTTCGAGTCAAATTGTCGTTATGAACCGCATGTTATAATTTCAAATAAACCATATGCGAAAACGTCAAAAGTTGACATATGATACGTCATTCTGTTCAGAGTGTTATTTTCTATCGAATAAAGTAAAAAAATACTGAGGGTGCTATTTAAAAATCAAAAATTGTAATTATTTTCGGTGAAACAGGAAGTGACCGAAAACAATTGAATACGTGAATCAATCCTAATTTATGTCAGTTACTAACATACCAAATCTCGTTTTTTTACTGAAAAGATAAAAAAGTTATAGGAGTGAACCACTTTTGAGACGCACCCGGTGTATTCAAAAGAAATATAATAATTTATTTTATATAATGGGGTATTTAAGATAATTACAAAAGACCTATTTTTAAAAAGTATTTAAAATGTTTATAGGATCTTCTTTTGTATTTTTTTGATACCCTTACTTAACTTTTCAAGTAACGCTCATGCTAGTATATACTTTTATTTAGTTTCTCTGTTACTGCTTATAGCTTTCTTTAGTATCTAACCACAGAATTTCAGTTGTACAGGCGTCTTAATAGTTTATATTGCTAGCTTGGGTACTACTTATTTGCTGTTATTATGTTATTGTTACTTATTGTATACCATTTCACCAAATAAGTACCTTGCCAAACCTCTAAAATCTTTCAGATATAGGTATTTGTTTTAATATATTTTGCGGTTACGCACAAACGGCATATCTACGAAAGTGTGACCAAACCAGTAAATGCAAGTGTTTTAAATCGTCGACGTCCAGTTGGCTTAGAAATGACGATGAATGACATTCTCCATATAATTTTGCATATAAAATGACAGCGATCTTTATTTCATAGCCATCGCTGACGCCAGTTTTTTTCGATCATATTGTAGTAATATTGTCTTATGATTGAAAATTCTTTATGAAAATTATAGTAAAACGATTTGATAATATACAGCGTATTCCAAAAATTCCGCAGCAAATGTTTTTTTTATTAAGTTTAACTCATTTTGACATATTATGTCAAGTGACATGTGAGAACTATCATGGTGAAAAATTAATAAAAGTTCTAGCGTAAAATATCAATTATTATTTATTAATTTCAATTCATTATTTATGGGAAATTATACAAACAAAGTGATTAAGTTTTGTGCTAACTAAGATACATCACTTTATTTTTATTTATATAGATTTTGTTTTTAGGTTAGACACTATAATGTCCATGAGCAACAAGGCTTTCCAAGGTTCAGCAGCACTGGTTGGCTTGGCAGTATTTTCTGCCCTTTTGGCCATATGCGCCATGATGCTCTTCTTTTTCTGTCACTCCACCACGGTGTTCCACGTTTGTGCCTGGATGCAATTGGTCTCTGGTAAGTAATTATACAGATAATTATACATGATTGAAAAAAAAAACGGCGTCGGCGATGGCTATTATTCAAATTTATTCAAATTTATCACGATCCACTTTTTAATCGTAATAACAAAGCGTACAAGAATGTTGTTTTCATTAGATTTTGTAGTTTAAATATATCAGTTATTTGCTGATAATGGTTTAGTGTTGCTAATATATATTGGTTCTTAGTTCAGAGACTTGGAAATAAATTAAATTATAATGGATTTTGAAGACCAAGGTAAGTTTTTTTAAGAGAATTTTATTAACTTAAATATTTTTTTATGAAGCGAGTAGTTACCACAAACATAGTAGAGCGTTTTTTTTTTAAATTAAACTTTGAAATTACGTATCTTTAGAACTCCACAGATCTTCGCTTCTCTATTTTATATTTTTTAAAAGGTATTATACCAAGTTTAATTTACCACAAGTATCTTACCCCAAGAGACCCCGAGGTAGATGATATATAAATTAGAATTTTAAATTGACCAGTAGTCTTATTTTTGTTCCATGGATAATTTCTTAAATTATTATACTAATTTTTTTTGAGTAACTCTGGAGTGGTAAAAGTGTAACTATAGAGACTCACATGTTCCTCCCGTACTCTATTCCTTTTATTTTTAGGAACAATAAGCCGCAGATCAGTATGTGAGAGGTTTTTGAAAATGGGTTTTAATAATAGGTCAGAAGCGAATATTATTGATGAAATTATTTCATTTTTGTGTGATAATAATATTCCTAACATATTATCGAAAAAAAGCAAATTGAAAATTTTGTTTATAAATGGTCAGAAAAGTGGAGGAAATGTAATTATACTTGGAGCAGTTTTATTTCCAACAATTGTCTCTGGCTGAATAAAAATTTACTTCAAATGGAAGAAAATCAATCTTTTGATGACCCTGGCCCTTCAATAAGAAAATTTTTTACAGAATTGTCCAAGTCCCAAAAAAATAGAGATCAAAGGTATATATTGCGAGGAATTAATTTATAATATCTTACAGAAAAAAACATGTTTTTTTATTTACATAATGCTGCAAATATTGCATTATTGCTTTTAATTAATGGCAAAGATTAAAAATCAATTTATTTCTAGGAATTGGAGATTCTTACACCTCTGAAGCTCTGGCATATGCTACAGTTTCTAATGTAAGGAAGGAATATAAAAATGAGACAGCAAAGCAGTCCGAATATTATTGTCAATCAGATAGTGAAAAGGAACCAGAAGAAAGTGGTGGTGAATCATGTCATGAACAAAATGGATTTGAAGACTCCATTTAAGGCATATTGCAATTTATGTTTTTTTTCTTTAATTTAGACCAGTTAACCTAATGGGTATTCTTTTTTTGACTAGGTTCGAAGCATTTTTCAAACCTTTTTAAAAACCATAATTTTTAAATAAAATTCATAGAAAATCTCCCTTTTTTATTATTTTTATACTAAACAAACATAGTCTGAAATATATTATATTTATTCCTTCGACAATCTTTGTCATGTTAATAAATCCGCCATTAAACCTACTAAGTCTAGAATTTGTAATAAAATTAAAAATACCATATGCGCCACTTTTTGGCAATCTGAACCACTGTGCGCCGTCTTTTTTTTCGATCATACGGTACTAACATTTTCAAAGAGTTTTTCTACTTTTAAAAAATTCTGGTTATCGGAATAAGAAAAATAAAAACAATGTCTTGCATAACACCCTGGCTGAACTAATTATATTGTAAACAGAGATTTGATTAATTTCTCGCTTGGTGAGAGACAATCTACCCGCCAATTAGATGCGCTTAAAATTCTATTGTAGGCGCCAAAGTATTTAAAGCAAATATTGTTATTTTTTAAGAACTCAAACCTTTTTATGTTAAGAATTACGATTATATAAAACAATTTAATTGTATCCAATTTTCTTGCATTCTACTAAAATAATTGTTTTTTTAATATTTAAACTATTAAACAATTTACTGTAAACAAAAAGTAATCTAGTGAAAGAGAACTACGAAATTGTGTTACTTACTTACTGTCATTACTCATTGATGAGTAATTGACACGCATCAGAAGATCGTAACGCAAGGCGTTTTCTTTCTGAGTTAACTGAGTTTACAATTCTCACCCATTGCGTTCTATTCCTGCGCTGCTTCCTTCCAATGATTCTGCATGCTAAGATTTCATGGAAAATTTCTTTGTACCTTTCGAGTTTTTTACCCGGTTTTCCTCTTACCGGCTACAAGCTTACCATTTTTCATTTCTAGAATGCTTTTGAGGCTCTGCTAATTCTGTGCTGAATTTCAGAGACGATATTGGCCTTTTCCGAAATCAAACTTCCGAGGTAATTCCGATTTGTATAGCATTGCTATAATTTATCGATGTTCAGCTCAAAGCCCAAAGCCTCGTATGCTCAGGTATACAGGGTTGTTCACCACATACGACGCGGAGTATTGTAGCTAAACAATTAGATTTTTACAAATTGTAAGTTTTGGGTTCGTTGAAGGACTATGAGAGCTACAATTTAAAAATATTTTTACAAGATACAGAGTGTCCCAAATAAGTAAAAAATATTATAGTTGTATTTTTTTAAATGGAACACCCTGTATATTATTCTATTTTTGGATTCTACGATTGAAATAAAGGTAAATTTGATTAAGGTTTATAACACTTAAACCTTACCGTTTTTGAAATATTTTCAATTTTATGAAATTGCAGTAAAAATTTTAAGGCTTCATTTCTCCAAGGGTTTCAAAGTTTTTAAAACTAAATATTTACTGAAGATTATTTATTGATCAGATATTATGTAGCAATAATAAAATTTTTACTACCTTATACAGAGTGTCCAAAAATTTATTTTTATATAATTACTAGCTTTAAACGACAATAACTTGTTTAATTTAAATGGAACACCCTGTATATTTTAGGAGAATTAGATGTACAATTTAATTGTCTATCAAATTATATTATACCATTTTTTACCTATCTCTTTAAGTTTTCGTAGAAAATGCATTTTGTTATAATTTAGACCTCATTTATCACTATATCTATGGAATATTGATATTCGACATTTTTTTAAAGCGACATACATATGTACAAGACATACAGGTGGTAAATATTGCAAGCCTATTGGTATACAAAAAAGCTATTTAAATCTTTGTAAAACAGTATACCAATTAAATATACCTACCACCATTATTTTCGACCAAAAATTAGTTAGTTATATACTTTTAAATTATTTTAGTTAATAAAGTATTCTAAATAAATGTGGATTTGGCTCAGAAATCAATATAATAATAAGTTTTGAAAATGAACGTCTCTGTTTTTATAAATTAGCATTCGTCAAATAATGAAATAAAATTTATAAGGTGTTACTTTTTACTACAATGTCTAATATACACACAAAATTCAGTTTTTCAGTTTTGGAGCAATTATTATTAATCAACGTGAACAGTCAATTAATGTAGTTTAAATACTGGGATCATATTAATTGGTCCTCTTTAACTAACAAAAAATATTTACAATTACAACAGTTTTTTATTTTATTTTTTAATGAAATAAGCGAACTATATCGACAATATTAGTGTCTGTACTCTTTGAAAATTTGTTACATCTTTAAAAATAATCTAAGATGTCAATATTCCATGGGTATAGTGATTAATGAGGTCTAAATTATAAGAAAATGCATTTTCTACGAAAACTTGAAGAGATGGGTAAAAAATGGTATAATACAATTTGATAGACAATCAAATTATGCATATGATTCACGTAAAATATACAGGGTGTTCCATTTAAATTAAACAAGTTATTGCCGTTTAGAGCTAGTAATTATTTAATATAATTTTGTGGACACTCTGTATAAAGTAGTAGAATTTTAATTATTGCAACACAATATCTGATCAATAAATAATCTTTACTAAATATTTAGTTTTAAAAACTTTGATACCCTTGAAGAAATGAAGCCTTAAAATGTTTACTGCAATTTCATAAAATTGAAAGTATTTCAAAAACGGTAAGGTTTAAGTATGATAAACCTTAATCAAATTCATCTTTATTTTAATCGTAGAATCTAAAAGTAGAATAATATACAGGGTGTTTCATTTAAAAAAATACAACTATAATATTTTTTACTTATTTGGGACACTCTGTATCTTGTAAAAATAATTTTAAATTGTAGCTCTAATAGTCCTTCAATGAACCCAAAACTTACAATTTGTAAAAATATAATCGTTTAGCTACAATACTCCGTGTCGTATGTGGTGAACAACCCTGTATATGTTCAGCATCTCTTGTAATTTGCTGTAACGTTTTGACAACTATAAAGCGCAGTCATCAGAGTATTGAAGTTCTGTGATGAATTTTATACGTATTTTTGCCCTGGGCCCTTTTGTGTTGAACAGACAGTCGTTGTATCTGTATCTAATGCCCATTCCTCTTTCCTGCAGTTTGTTGTCCACTATAATGAATAAGTTGAATAGGAGAGGCGCTAAGACACATTCCTGCCTAACTCCTGTATTTTTTAAGAAGGGATAGCTCATTGATCCATGATGTGATACTGGTGACTTGTTGGTGATATTTATATTTATGCTTTTGCATACTGTAAGCAATTTGTTGGGCACTCCGAACAATTGCCTAAAGTGCATCTCTGTTTACAGAGATGGTATCTCAAACTAAGAAAAGTGCAGATTGCCCAACACCCTCTTTCGTAAATCTATAAAAAAACTTTTTTCTACAAACGTCAAAAAATGATAAGGTTCGTGAAAAGTGACACTTTTTTCATTTTCCTACGTTACCATAACACGGTGCGCGAAGTAACGCGAGAAATGCCTATCTCGCACACTGCATGTAACTTATATAGGATTTTGAAATTTTGATTTTTGGAAAATGAAGAACTCAATCATAACTAATAATTATTTATTTCGAAGTATTCAAGAATAAACAAATAGCAAATATCAAACTTAACACTAATGCATATTCTAGTTATTATTTACAATGTTAACATTAATAGTACAAACAGTACACGAACCAATATTTAATCCCAAACTAGATAGTTCTGATTCACTTGAAATATGGGGATTTTGGGACTTGAGACACTATCCAATTTTGATGTAGAGGTACTTGATCCCGTTATTTGGCACTCTAAAATTTTATTTCATATTTGAATTTTATTGTGTCGAAGATTTCCATCCCCCGTGGCTCTTCAAACTAAATATATCACCCCTGCATTAGCAAGGAGTGTGGCTGAATTTCTTCGGAAACAATGCCCAGTGTAGGCCTCATAATCTGGCAGCTTCAAGTGTTTTGCTATCATGCTTCCTAGGCATCTTACCAATAGAATTCATGCCGACCACTTGGTTAACACATCTTTTATTTTGATATTTTAAAAACAATCTGCGACTGGTAGCATTTCTTGGACGAAGAGCTGCGTATTTTCGGTAAATCTCAATATAATTCAAATTTGGCACTGTAAAGACTCGGTCTATGTTTGTTTTTGTATCGGGTACTTTAACAATCAAAATTGAATCTTTATCTTCTATGTTATCGACCGTCATTTTAGTAAGTTCCTCACGGCGGCAAGCACCAGAAATACCAAGTATTAAAACGACCTAAAAGGAGATCGATGACGATGTTCAGTAATAAAAAAAACATACATTCCAAGCTCACGCTTTTTTTCGAAGCAATAATATAATAATAATAATTTTTAGGGATATCCCGATTTTAATGTTTGTAGAAAAAATGTTGTTTGCGACTCGTGCGCGAACTACTTTGGTGATCTCGACTAATTTTTCAACTCGGCTACGCTCGTTAAAAAATTCCAGTATCTATCATCAAAGTAGCACTTCGCGCACTACATACATACAAAAATAACTTTTGTACACCTCTGGATGAATAATAGTATTTAAGTACAATATTTGGATTTAAGAGTATTTTGGAAGCATTGGTGTCTCCATAAAAAATAATTAAATATCAAATATTACGACTGTGTAAATCATAATATCTTAATTAACAAATTGCAATACTATGGATTCAGGGGAGTGCCGCTCGAATGGCTTAAGTCGTATCTTGGCAACAGAAGGCAGCTTGTGAGGATTGATACGTCTATGTCTTCTGGTAAGCCTATAGAATGTGGTGTCCCTCAGGGTTCAGTACTTGACCCCATTTTGTTTCTAGTGTTTATCAACGACATTGCAAATCTAGACATTACCGCTAAAATCTGCCTCTTTGCGGACGATACTAGTTTCACTTGGAGCGGCAATCTAAATTTAAATCTTGGTGCGATTCTAATCTCCTATGCCTCAACCTTTCAAAAACTAAAGATTTGTCATATAAAAGTACTATACAATCTTTTGTACTTAATAACACCACTATTGACGTCGTGGACTCTGTGAGATTCTTAGGACTTGTTGTAGACAACTCGTTAAAATGGGACTTGCACATCGAAGCTTTATCAAAGAAACTAAGCGCTGCCTGTTTTGCGCTAAGATCAGTTTCTAAGGAACTTAACTCATCAACCTCTAGAATGGTCTATTATGCCCTTTTTGAGTCGCATCTTCGTTATGCCTTTCCATTCTGGGGTACTTGCTGCACGGCAAAATTTGATCGTATTTTCAAACTTCAAAAGAGAGCAGTTCAATACTTATTGGGACTAAATAGTAGAACTCACTGCCAGAATTTCTTTAAATATTTCAAAATACTGACTCTTTCTTCCTTATTCATTTTTGAATCCGTTTGCTTAATCCGCAAGCACATATTCTCTATTCCGGAAAGGCCTTCTCACAACTCTCCACTTAGGAATGCCCGGAGCACGATATTTATCTGCCAATCCCTAGCTCAGAACTAGTTAAGGGCTCAATATTGTACAATGCCAAGAAAATGTACAATCATTTGCCTTCGAATATCAAGTCACTTTCATTCTTTCCCGCATTTCGCAAAGCTCTGAAATCATACTTACTGGAGAGAGCCCTATATGCGGTAAACGACTTTTTGTTGATGTTTAATCATGAACAATTTTGAATTTTAAAATTTTGATCATCTCACACACTGGTTAAAGGTCTAGTATTTAATATTTAATATTTTATAACTCTTGATTTTATGATATATAACATGATTTTATCCATTTACAGTTTTCCTTTTGTAAAATTTTCTAGATACGCCTGTGTTCTGCAATGTCCATATATGTTTTATTTATAATTTTATGACGTAAATTTTTTTGAATTGATTTGTATTGTATGACATTTTTTTTTATTATTTGTATATTTGTTTTTGTGCTTTTTTGTTTTGTGAATGCTTTGTCGATGAAGCTGTTTTGGCTTTTTGTACAATAAAGCATTGCTTTTTTTTAACGTCACATTTTCAATGTATCAATTCAATCTGTCCTAATTCACTTTTAAAAGAGATTTGAAGCATAAAACGAAAAGTCAAGCGTATTTCCCATCTCTCCTTCCCCCCTTCCCTAACTTTCCATTACCCCCCTTCGTACAATACCCTAATTACCCACCCCAATTACAAAAAATCTTTTCCGCTCACTCTCCGAGCTCCCTTGTTACGTCTTTTCACTGCTTTTTGTTTTGCAGGAGCCTGCCTAATAGCCGGATGCGCCGTTTATCCGATCGGATGGTCAGAGAGCGACGTTGTCAGAGTGTGCGGCGAGGCGACGGACCAATACCAACTGGGCAGCTGCGGTATACGGTGGGCCTACTTGTTGGCGGCGATAGGTTGTTTGGACGCGGTGATTTTGGCAACGTTGGCTTTCATATTGGCTACGAGACACGTGACGTTGCAACCGGAGCCTCAGTACGCTCCTGCCAGTCTTTATAAAGGTATTTTTTATTTTTTTTAAAGTAATTTTAACCCTTAACCGCTATCGTGAGCCCACCCTGGAACCCGGCGCGCGGCGGTTCCCAAATATGGTCTAATATTTTTTTAACTTTTTGGCCACTTATATTTACCGTGCTATTTTGTGAAATAGCACGAGGCAATCAAGGTCAAACGTCGTTTTGGCTTCAGAAAAATAAGTAAACATGGAAAAATTGATATGTGACGGCTTTAATTAAATTTGACAACCGATGGTAAATTAAATTGGCTAATCCTCGAAGGTTACACAAGAATATTTAGTTTTAATCATTGTCTAATATTATTAATTACTTTATACTAAAAAAACAGTGGCTTATAATCCACGGTATTGCGCCTCATGAACAAAATATACAGAGAATTATTTAAAAAATCGTCTAATTAATTATTATTTCTGGTTATGGTAATATTGGTTGTTTTTCTAGTTTTAGTTGTCGAAATCCCTGTAAAAGTATCGTTTACAGATTTTTCTTAAGAACAATAAAAGAACATTGCTTTTAAATAATATCCGTGGACCATACTTTTGTTGACATTGGGTCAAATAATAATTTTCCCAAGCAGATATAATGTTACCAGTATTACTCATCAAGCAATACTACTCTTATATTAATCAATTAAGGCCGTAAACAAACATATCATATACAATTTTATATACTAATTTATAATAATAAAATTAAATCAAAAAAATATTGTAATTCTATTTCTGCAGTTTAAGTGAAAAGTTTTACACTAACTATACACTATACATATAATAAACGTGTGTTGAAATATTAATTCTGTGGAATGTGGAATATATATCAATATAATATAAAACGAGATGTAATTAACGAAATATCATTGGAACAACAGCTATTTTAGAAACGTCTAGGTTTACTTATTTCGCTGAGATTTATGAAAAAAAATCCTTTGCCTCCGGTACAGATACCGCCACGTTTTGGAAATAGCTCAAAACAAAACAAAATTGAACGAGGCAACAAAAAACGCTAAAAAAAAACCCTCGCTCTCTTCACGTGTAGTTTTCAGGCGCTTTTAAGAATCGAAAGTATAGGTCGAGGCAAACCGAGGTGGGTCAAGGCAACTGGAAATAAATCGAAATGCCTTAAAGTTGGGCCAATGAAATGCGACGGGTTGTTTCTAGCATAGTGTGTACAATGTTTAACAACTGCCCAAGTAGCATTTTCACGACTTGCGACCACATGTTTACTAAACACAACGTTGGATTAGTTACAAAAAATAGTTTGCTCCCTACCTTGGGTATTAAAATAAATTTAAACGTTTTTATAACGTTGTGCCGACGTTGGACTAGTACTACAGCAAAGTAGAAGTTTCTGCGACGTCGAATAAACGTTGTCTTGTAACGTTTTTTGCTTGTGATCTTTAGGTGATTCGGACAACGTAGTTACAACGTTGGACAATATAGAGTTTTCCGACGTCAGTTTCAGGACCTATTCCAACGTTATGCAAACGTCGTCTGTTTTACTAATTCCAACGTTGTTTAGATTTCCTTATTCTTACGTTGGTAGGACGTCGAGTCACTACCTTTTTGCAACTGTATTGAACCATAACCTTAAATCTAAATTTTCACTTCATTGTCAGACAATAAAAAAAATACTTAATTAAAACGGGACATAAGAAAGGTACTATATAAAACTAAATTTAAATATACATCGACATATATTACCGATAGTTTATCCACTCCCCTCGTTTTAGATTATAGAGGGCGGCACAAGCTAGACTCTAGGATGACTAAATTAGGCAATCTTGCGACTAGTATACTACCTGTTAAGCGCCGAACTGCGACTTTATTAGTCCAGTATGCGACTACTGAACTACTCCATCTTAATCTCCAAACAACAAAGTGAAAGCCGCCATGTTGTTAAATAAGAAAATGTTTCTGTTCCTAAAATAGCGATTCCTGCTTTTTGAATACATTACCTTGGAAATATTTGACCCTAAAAACACGCGGAAACAATTTTTTTTTTCGACTGAATAAATTATTCTCATTTTACAAAAAAAATTCAAGAAAATTTTTAAAACTTTTTAATTTTAAGGCCCATTAGTATTTTTCAAAGTAGAAACAATACATTTATCAATAAAGTTGTTTGCGTTTAACTTTTTGCCTTGTTAAAGTGTTTTTAATAATTATGATCTTCAAACATCCTCCACACTTAAATACTTTTTTGTTTTGTTTTCCTTCACTGCCATCTGACATATGTTCTAACTAAATCATAAAAATAATATTTTTACTATAATTATCCCAATTTAGGATAAAAACGCGACTTAGACGCCATATTAGTTTTGTGCTTCTGGGAATTAGGATTTTAAACAACGTTGCAGTTTGTACTAAATTAGGCTTCTAGCCAACGTCGGTATCCAACGTCGTTTCGACCCAAAAATTATTCTCCAAACTAGTGCAGACTAGGGTTGGCACGAGGTTGTGCCGACGTTGCGCCCCGGCGTTTGGTCGCGTGACACAACGTTGTCCCGACGTCCAAATGCTGCTTGGGTGTATATTATATAATAATATCATTTTATATCTTTATTTCAGGTGAAATGAACAGTGGTTACATCAGCGACGCAGCCAGTGTTGCCGGCTCTAGAAAATCGCTCAACATCCATCCGGTACTGTTGATGAGACCGGGACAGGACGACACTTATTCTCAGTTTTCCCAAAGGACAGTACCCAGATCAGTACACTCGGGACACTATTCGCATCCCCATTCCTTACGGAGAAATTTCCAACTTTAGAAAATAACAGAAAAAAATGTCTTGTACGATTAATTTATTCGAAAAAATGCCGGAAGTATTTTTAGGTAGATTGTACCGTAGACTTAAAAAGTAAATGGACTATTAATAATTATTTATATCCTGTCAGCTTACTAAAGAGATGTGATGACTTTTTTTTAGTCTATGAATGACCTTTATTTTATAATTGCGAATAAAGCTATTTATAATTTTTTACGTTTTTATAGCTATTAAAAATACACATCATCAATTTTAATCGGGCAAAGAGCGGTATCGGCAGGCCAAGTTCGCAGATCAAAATACCAGAGTTTTGGTTTGGTTTGGCCAAGTCCGCTGATTAAATCCGCAGGCCAAATCGGCTCAAGTTTCGTTTACTTGAAATCAGTTATGTAAGCAATACTTCTTTATTTAGTACGTATTTGGAAGCCTTTTAGAATAGTATGTCATAAAACATTTTCTGCGCAAATGCACCCTTTTCAAATTTTCTGCGGAAATGCATGCAACTTCTTGCGGAAGTGTGCCATTTTCATTTTTACTTATAAAATATTGCAAAATATAGCAAATATAGCAAGATTTGAAAAGTACTCGGCAATTGGAATTCGTAAACAGAGGCGTTTTAGCTTACAGCGTCTTTTGATTGCTATGTTTTTTTCCACAACAAGGGGCCGTCCTCTGCCGGAAACACTGCGACCTGTGATGCCTATTGTGTTTGTCTCCTTTCTATATCTGCACCCATTCTCCTATCCCTGTGCCCTGCACTTACTTATGCTTTGATAGGATGGGAGCATAGTTTCTCCGGTTCTAGCCTAGCTTTCCCAAATAAAAAGTGTCGCTTGCGATCCAGAGCCTCGCAGTGACATGTTATGTGCTCCGCTGTTTCAGGATCTTTATCGCAGAGTCTGCAGCAAATACTTCCTTAATACAGGTTCAGCTTGTTCAGGTAACACTTGACAGCCATGTGTCCTGTCAAGAGGCCTGTCGTAATCCGCAATTTATTCCTGCTAAGCATTAGCAGTTCTTTTGCAGTTTTAGAGCTAGGTCCTTGGATAAAAGCCTTGCTGTTACCTGTGCCCCTGTCTGTTTCTCCAGTGGACATTCTGCTTTTCCCTGATCCAGAGTTTTAGTGCACTACGCGCCATACATTTGGGTATTCCCAGTACTGGCTCTGGACCAAGATCGGATGCCGATGATCCTTAACTAGCTAGCTCATCGGCTTTTTCGTTGCCTTGGATGCCGCTGTGGCCCATCACCCAGAATAATTTAATTCTGTTCCTTTGAGCCAGAGCTCCCAGTTCACCTAGGCATTCCCAGACGAGTCTCGAGTCTCGACCATACCTTTGGGCTCATAAGCGCCCCAAGTGCCGCCTGACTGAGCATATATTGATGAGCTTATCTGAATAAGCTCTTCTATTGTTTTCTCTCGCACATTGTAGAATGGCGAATATTTCTGTCTGGAATACAGTTGAGTGTTTATCCAAGGAAAAGGGTAAACTTACCCTTTTCCCAAATACTCCAGCTCCTGTTCCTTCAGCGGTCTTTGACCCGTCTGTATACCAGGTTAGTCCATCCTGAAGGAATGTTATATCTGTCCACATTCCTCGATCCATTTTGTTCACCTCGAATGGTTTGTGGTAGTGATAAAGAGGGGTCATTTGGTCCGATCTCATTTGGAGTAGAGGTACCATACCAACAGGTATGGTAGGCTATTAAGATCGGGAAAAAAGTTTTTTTTAATTTCACTCAAAATAAGTTATTTGGGTCATAAATGACCTAAATACAAAATATTTTTATGGTGTCTGTCTGTCTGTCCGTCTGTCTGTAACACGATAACTCAAAAACTGCTAAACCGATTTTAACCAAATTTGGCACAAAAATACTGTTGCACCCGAGAATCTGGTCATTAGTTTTTGGTGGGCGTGGGGGGTTAGTAAAGGGGTTGTAGAGGGGGTTAAACATTTAAAAAATCGTAAATTCCAAAATTACAGTAGCTAGCGAAACGCGGTTTTCAATTTAAGATTAGGAATAATATTTGCAACAAAATTTGTAATAACATCAAAATCAAAGTCGCAGTTTTTGAGATAAAAAAAATTGGAAAAATTCCTTTACTTTGAAACTAAAAAAACTGCCTACCAACTTTTTTTTAACATATTTTACGAGGGGCAAACCGCTGTGATATTTATTGTACAAGCACTTGGTAATACTGGTATTTTTTTTGGTACTAATTTGGTATTTTTGGTACCAATTTGGTATTATTTGGTAATAAACTGGTATTATTTGGTAATAACCTGGTTTTATTTGGTATTAAACTGGTATTAAACAGGTATTTTGTTGGACATCTGGCAACGCTGGATTAGACGCACGTGGCGACGACGGCCGGGAAGCTGATTGCATCATTTCTAGCCCACTTGCATCTAAAGCTAATACTGAAAAATATCTGGAATCTAAAGGTGCCTTCACAAAATCGTTTAGTTCTGGAAGTCTTTCCGGAAGATACCAGATATCCAGAAGATACCACTCTACATGTTGTGGAAACTGATTATACCCATGAATATAATATAGTTTCTAAAATACAAAAGCAATGGTTAAAGTCAAAAATTGGTGATGAACTCTGGAGCACTCTGCAATAATGCAATAGTCTGTTTAATAACATTATTTTTAGCACATCAATTTTACTTCCAAATTCTACTGCAAACTTCGAGGCAAACTCGATTTCGGGATCGACTTTAATATGCAAAATAACCTGCTTTTGTAAAAAGCAATTATCTCCTTCTACAAAAACTACAAAAACAAGAGTTACAAAGGCACTCTGGGTATATAAGCTTAAATTTTCAAACACACTTGATAAAGCATTTTGATATAACAAATAAATTATTTACCAAATATTAGTAATAATCGCAGTGTTAAATCTGAGGTTAAATCAGAGGTAAGCAATAATTCTTCAAATACCTATGAGGCGCAACCAAAAGTAACTTCATTTCTAAAAAAGCCTTCTACCGAGCCTTCTACGGAAAATACCGAGGAAATTGCAGAGGCATGCAAACCCTCATGTAGCAAAATTGTACCCCCTAATCTAATATGTGAAGCTCCCTGTAATCAAAGAAATCCTAATGTAAAAATACTAGATTGCGTAATTATCCGCCAACTAAACGAGCCTCGGAACTACCCTTATCAGCCACCACTTTAGCCATACCATCCACAAGCAATAATAATTATCTCCCCGATGTTACCCTTACCATTATCAGCTGCCGCTTCAACCTTACCGTCAACAAGCAATAATTCAATTTGGAAGTCTACAAAATACAGCCGCTCGCAAAGGAATAAAAGAAAAATTGAAATGTTTCAGTATAATCAACCTCTTATAACCAACTTTATTTCGATATTAAAGAAAATAAATTCTACTTTTAAGGAAAACGGAAAAATATCGAAAGCTCTTAAGGAAACGATGATGGTTTGTCTAAATGAACCCGAGAATGAATCTGATGAGAATATAAGCCAGAATCGAGACCAGAATCAATGTCATCAAACAAATTTTTAAACATGTTGCTTAAGACAGACTTTGGTACTAATTTGGTATTTTTTTTGGAAATAATTTGGTATTTTTGGTACTTTTTTCCCAAAATTGGTATTTATTGTACACCATATTTGGCAGCGGTTTGCCCCTCGATATTTTAGTATGGGCGGCTATAGGTGCCTCCCGGCGCCAATTATTTTTATTAAAATATAATATTTTCTACCCTTAAGACACAATTCTTTTCAATAGCATGTAAAGAACACATTGCTTAAATACAATATACAATATCATTTTTTTTGGAAAGTGAAAATTACATAAGGTGTTATCAATTAAATTATAGCAAGCGTGTTCAATTTTCTATAATTTAAAGTGAATTTACATGTTAATTAAATAATTGGTTTGTAATTTGGAGGGTATTGATGACGTTGCACAAAAAATAGACAAGAGTACACTTACATTTTAATAGTTTTACATGGGGCCATAGTAGGTGCGTTATAGGCATCTCGTACTATTTTTACTATTTGTCTAAGTAAAAAATGATGATACTACGATATAATACTTTTCTTTTGATCTTAGTGGTGTTTATTAAAGCAAATTATGCTCAAGTTTCTGGTAAGTACGGTGTTACTTTTTATAAAATAATATTTTATGTATTCAAAATCACCAAAATACGAGCCAAAATATCTTATTAGAAAATTATTTGATTCCTTACTCGGAGACCTTGGACCCATTGCCATAACCCTGTATTATTGTACCAAACCTTCCCCTCATTCTTTCTTTGCGGTAAAGCACTTCCAGCTCTTTGCAAATTTCACGATGTTGCTGATGTTGGCATCTGCTGCTTCCTCTAGTTCCTCCAAAAAAACCTTGGCCTAAAGTTTTAAAGCGTCGGTATTCCAGTGCCGGGCAGTCGCACAGCTCTATGGTTTCTTCTTCCTCTCCGCAATCCCCAGCAAGAGTTGGAAATCTTCCATTTCACGAGGTTTACCTCTGAGGGGCAGTTTCCAATGATAACACCTACAATTATGCGTACTAGGTTCTTTTTATGCTCTAGTAGATAGTTGGTTTGTCTTTTTGCTATCCACCACTGGTCACAGTCTTCGAACTCTAGCGCAACTTCAAATTTTAAGGCTTTAATAAAAAAAAAGAAAAAAAAATATTGTGTTGGTAAAATGTTAATTGCAGATATTTATTGCATCCTCTTGTATTGACGCCAAGCTACTCCCTTGGTGTCTGGTATTTTGTTTTTATGCCCTAGTTCCTTTTTATATCAGGATCATTCAAGCGTTCTATTAATTGGCTAATGCACACTACAATCCCCAATTAATAGAATCATATCAATTCTCTCCATTTTCGGCAAATTTCTGAGATTTTTTTTTGTTTTAGCTGACACAAAATCATAACTAGTTGTTAAAGGTAAAAAACTAATTTGACAGCTATGTTGAAGTGACGTCAGGCATATTACAGCCATCTAGATTATGTCAAACTAATAAAGATCTACTGACACTAAAGCATAAAAATTAAAATATCCAGGAAAATCCTTTTTTTTATTGAAACCTTAATAGTATTTTGAAGAGAAATGCATTCCCTATTGAATATCGGAATAATATACTGGGTGTTCTCAGCCCCGGGTCTAAGCGGGGGGGGGGGAGCAAACCGGGGCACCAGCCTCGGGCGCCAGTGTCAGAGGGCGCCAAAATCATAATATGATATGGTTGAAAATAAAAAAAAATGCTCCACAAAGCGCCTAGTATTCACTTTACGTTCTTCTGTCAAGTATTCATTTAATTTTAAAACGCCCAGTTAGTTTTTGAACACATTCTAAAGTTTCATTCAGAACCTCGCAATTAGTGGAATAAATTAGCGGTTTCAGTTATTACATTTTATAATTTTTGGTTTACGATCATCCACAATTTTTAAAAAACACAATTAAAATTAATAGAATATCTCTTCTAATATATTCTAACCGCAATTTCTCTTCACGGATACTAATCAAAAGGCCTGTTTACACTACGTGCAATGTGCAATACGGTGCAATGGCAATTTTAGTTGCCCGAACGCATGCGCACCTCACACTTTTCGATCGGCTGATGCAATTTTCATTGCATAGCATGGAATTAGAACACGCGCTAATTTGATTGCACGTAGCGTGCAATTTTTGCATCTACCAACCAAAAAAGTCAAATTTTATAATTAAAATAATATAGTTTCTGTTTTACAATTCATGTTATAGGTACCAATAATAATAAATTAAGATACAAACTCAAACTACAAAATCTAAAAACCTTTAATAAGACATACACAACGATACCTCGAAGATAAAATAAAAAAATAAATGAAACAGTTGTTATAGTCATTTTATTTAGATTGGCACAATAGATTTTCAAAATTATGGCATGTATTTTATTGCACTCTATGTAAACGGTAAATTGGGCGTGCAACCGAATTGCATGCCATTTTTAAAAATGGCGTTGCATCCAATTGCATCTAGTGTAAACACCGTTAAAGGCCAAAACGACATTTCCCGCAAAATTTGAAGTATAATTAGTGGAAAAGTCAAAAGTTTGTTTACTTTTTCTACTAATTGAAAATTACTACCACTAATTTAGACGTTCTGAATGCTTACATTGAATTTAAAGGAACAAACTGCTACGCCAATTGAAACCTCTAATTTATTCCACTAATTCGGAGGTTCTCAATGAAGCTTAAGGGCTCATTCTGTCCCGTTTACGAAACATGCCTACCTACAAATATCTAGATATTTGTAAGTTTTTTTAAATTAATTTTTTGCAAACGCTGGAGAGAGGGGGCGCTACTATCAATTTTTTGCCCCGGTTCAAAAAAATTGTAGATCCTGGGCTAGGTGTTCTATTTAAAATAAAATAGTAACTTCCTTTTAATCCGTTTATCAATGTTAACTTTGTCTCACCCTGTATAATAACTTTTTAGGTCAAGTTTTAATTTGATTTAAAGTACAAAAGTTATTCTAACTAAGTATTAGGCTATACCGAGTAAATTCCAATTTATAGTTCATATCAAAATAAACTTTTAGTCACGTGATTAAGCTTGACCGGTACAGCGTTGCTCACTTTTACATATTTTCTTTTAATCGACATATTTTAGGAAACAAAAGTAAATTAATTATAAATATATAAACAGTTATTAGTTACATCAACAAAATTTACCTCCTTAACAACACTTATGGGACATAAAGGGCCATTACTACCGCTTTCCCGTTCAAAATATTCTAATAAAATTGCGATGAGTTTTTTACGGCTATTAAGTTAACTTGTACACTTTGCACTATAAGAGGTTCTAACAAGAACAATATTCGACTGCAAGGTCTCAACATATTTAAGCTTAAAGTCTCACAATACAATTCATTTAAACCAAAAACTCGTAACACAAAACTAAAAAGTCAAAACCAATGACAATGTCAGGAAATAAATAAATAAATGTGGCAACTTGACATATTTTACAGCAGAAAAACTAGAAGTCTAATTGGTACCGAATATAGGTAGGTTTTATTGAAACTTAAAACTTGTTCATACGTAGCTTTTCTGGCGAACTCTCTACATTTAAAAAAATGTTATAAATAGGCACACAATATCAATACAAACTGTCGCTGTCCTTGGTGTCTATGTGTCGTATGAGAGACGCTACGCTGTACTGGTCAAATACAGGGTTGCCACAAGAAAATTTTTGATTGTGTGGAACTTGACCCTAAAAATGTATGGCGCCAAATTTTAAAGCATGATTAGGAGTCTCACTTCCACTCGTTTGTATACGTCAATATGTTCATTTCCCATTTCATTTCCTCTCATGCCAGCAAGGATTGCAGTGATGTCAAAATTGATGCCGCGAAACTAACGATTTTTTGGACAAATTAAACCGGTTAATTCTGTTTAAAAACTTTAAACTATTCAGAACTGTTTAATCGGCCAAATTTGTCCATAGAAACTGCAGTCCTTGCTGACAAGGAAGGAAGTGAAATAGGAATTGAATAATATTCACTTATGCAAACGAGTGGAAGTGAGACTGAACTACAGTGACGTAATTCAGCAGTGAAATTTGACCAAAGTATGTATTATGTATTATTTAAGGATTAAGAAATCCTGTCTATTTACCGTTTTTGGCTATTTTCTATTGGTCCTTGACTGAAAACCCAGTTCATACTCTGAGATTTTACTGAACACCTGAATACTGATGACGGAAAATGATATTTTTGTCAGTTCAAAAAAAAAGTAATTAAAGTACACTTGCAGCCTCTTTTCATGTAACTTAGATAACTTAAAAGCAAAAAATCAGCTTTTGTTAGCTGATTTACTGTTCTGCTATTATTTTTTATATGAAATATGAAAAATTTTCAAAATGTGTAGCTCAGACGATTGTGATATAGCTGTGTAATCATTGAAGCAAATGTGTAGCAAAGTACACAATTGTGTAGGTTGTGGCAACCCTGGTTGGTCAAATATTCTTATTTCTGAATTTACAGACGAGGAATATGGGTCGATGCCAGATTTGTTCCATCAAGACAATTTTGACAAATGCATGCTGCTAAAAGATCAAGCTTTCTATTGCTCATTTACGTATCAATTAGAACCCCTAGATCGATCAAATCCTCCAGAAGTATGGGGTATTATACAGGTAATAATTTGAAAGTAAAATTCAATTTTTAAAAGCAGACTTTTAAAAAGTGAATTAATAGTTATTTTTTATACAAGACGATAAAATGGTATTTTATCGTCGACCAAAAAGATTAATTAATTTCGGGAGACGATAATGCAATTTTATCGTCGTGTATAAAACAATATTTTTTTCCATAGCAAGTTACGTTTTAAAAAATATTCAGAAATTATTGTTTCAAGGAATTTATTACGAGTAGAAAAAACATTGTGGTGGGTTGGCGTTGTTTTTTTATGTAATTTGACAAATAAATAAAGCAGTCTCTTTAGTTGCCAGTTTTGAGTTAATATTTATTAATTCTCCTTCGTGTCGATTGGTGATTGAATTGGAGCCAGAAATGGCTCAAAACGAAATAAGTAAATTACCAACAGATATTCAGGCTGAGGCGACAAACGCCATATCCAAACTACTTCCATTTAAATCCCGAATAACTTATGAAAAGGAATACAAAAATCTTCAAAAATTGAAGCAATTAAAAAAACGTGCGAGAAGAAATAAGGTTTTTAACCTATCCTGGCTCTTAAAGTATCATTTAATCTACCCTTGATGTTAAAGTACTATTTTACCTGCTATTTTTGATAGATATTAGGCAATTTTAACAGTTGCTATGGAAAAAAATGTAAAATTCTTAGGCAATTCGAAGCTTTGAATCCAAACTTCAATTTTAACGAAACGGTAAGAAACACAGGTTGGTTTAAATTGGGGCAAAGTTGTCTTGTTAGTGAGCTTAAAAAGAAAGTAACAAGAGAATGATTTAGAATTGAAATATTGAAAAAATTACTTACAGAAGAAATATACAAGTATCAATCATAGAACGAAAAATTATGATAATGCTATACCCTGTAGTCTCTCCAAAAAATCCTATATGGGTATTTCGCCACTGCAAGAAAATCTACAAAATGAAATAGTTATTTTTTGCAAACCCTTCTGGGTTAATCCAAACGGAAACTACTTGTCAGAAGTTAGGTTTACAGATATACAAATTTGCCTAATGAACAAAAAAATGCTTAACGTTTCGGAAAGTTTATCTCTTTCCGTCGTCGGAAGCAAAAAAATACAAAGAATAAAGAAAAAACTATTTAAAATATTTAAATTCAACTATTCGAGAACACTTTAGTTTTTTAAAACAGATACGTCTACAAAAACCGTTGACGTTCTTTTAAAATGAGATCATATCCAAGTTAAACTTCAAAATTAACAATTACTACCTGATAACAATTATTACTTAATAAGGTAAAACCAAAAAACCCCAAACTTTGTGTATTATAATTTTTAATTTTTACGTATGTCATGTTTATTTATGTTATGTTCTCTAAAATCAAAGAAGCGATTGCCATACATTACAGTACGTCTGTCCGTTCTGTAGCTACGGGGTATCCGTGAGAGGAGAAACGATATTCTCTCAATGTTTTTTGTAAAAAATTAGACGACGCGTCCGGTCCCATCAATAAAAATTCGACAAATTTGCAAGCAGCCAATAAAATGAGTGGGCGGAGCGATTTGCGCTGACGTATTCCTCAAGTCGACGTATAAAATATATTGCGGTTTATTTAAATGGTTTTTGTCCGCATTCCTTTCATAGACACAGATCCAGCAGACGTACTGTACTAACATCTACAGATGCATGAGCAATACATTTATTTTTATTAGATTGTATTAATAAAGCCTCTTTTATTTTTGTTTTAAAGGCTATCGCTTCTTTCATTATAATTTTGGCGTTATTAAAATTTATTTTGCGCCTGTGTCCTCTGTCCCATGAATGCTGACAAATCTTAGATTTGTGAAAATCTCCCTTTCTTAAATAATAATGAAAGAAGCGATAGCCTCTAAAACTAAGACGTATTTGCTTCAGAATGCTTACCCTGACAAGTTCGTAGACAAAATTATGTCAAATTGTAAAACTGACTTAATGGTTCATCGACCTAAATGGGATGCTCTCTCTCTTGACTATATTCCACAGAGATGAGCAACAAATCGCAAACTGCGATTCAATCGCAGCGATTTTAAAATCTCGATCGCTCTTGACGTCACAGAAGCATGTAGACTGCTCATTAAGAAGCTACTTTGCCTAAATTTAAGCTACCCCGTATCCATTACCGTTTCTTAGATCACAATGGTGAGAGTAGCATTTGAAACATCCAGTTTACTAAAACCCAAACCTCCAGCATTCTTCATACTTATTAGGTATTTCAGTGATTATTTCTCATTTAGTACCTATTTGGATAAAGTAAAAATACCTTTTAAAATTACCTATAGAAAGTTATCAACGCATCTACAAACTACAGACATGACAAATTAAGGCATAGTATATGCGTGCCTCATACATGTCCTAACGTGTCCAAAGCATCAGATGATGATCCAAAGTTATGGAAAGGTATCCAGGATTGTTACAATAGCAAATTTTCAGAAGGCGGATTCAAGGGAAAAGTGATTGATATGAGCTGCGATACACAGTATTCAAAATATCCAATTGACTGGTTAGATATAATATGTGGGTAAGTCATTATAGATAGACTGATTCGTATCATTTAATATGGAACATCTAGAGCAGCGTTTCTTACCCAAGTAGCATTTTCACGACTTGCGACCACATGTTTACTAAACACAACGTTGGATTAGTTACAAAAAATAGTTAGCTCCCTACTTTGGGTATTAAAATAAATTTAAACGTTTTTATAACGTTGTGCTACTACAGCAAAGTAAGCTTCTGCGACGTCGAATGAACGTTGTCTTGTAACCTTTTTTGCTTAAGTGATCTTTAGGTGATTCGGACAACGTAGTTACAACGTTGGACAATATAGAGTTTTCCGACGTCAGTTTCAGGACCTATTCCAACGTTATGCAAACGTCGTCTGTTTTCCTAATTCCAACGTTGTTTAGATTTCCTCATTCTTACGTTGGTAGGACGTCGAGTCACTACCTTTTTGCAACTGTATTGAACCATAACCTTAAATCTTAAATTTTCACTTCATTGTTCTGTTCAGTCAGACAGTTCAGTGCTGCTTTTGTTTTTATAAAAAAAAACTTAATTAAAATGGGACATAAGAAAGGTACATATAAAACTAAATTTAAATATACATCGACATATATTACCGATAGTTTATCCACTCCCTCGTTTATTTAGATTATAGAGGGCGGCACAAGCTAGACTCTACTCTAGGATGACTAAATTAGGCAATCTTGCGACTAGTATACTACCTGTTAAGGCCGAACTGCGACTTTATTAGTCCAGTATGCGACTACTCGAACTACTCCATCTTAATCTCCAAAACAACAAAGTGAAAGCCGCCATGTTGTTAAATAAGAAAATGTTTCGTTCCTAAAATAGCAATTCTTAGTTTTTGAATACATTAACTTGAAATATTTGACCCTAAAAAACACGCGGAAACAATTTTTTCGACTGCGAATAAATTATTCTCATTTTACTAACAAAAAATTCAAGAAAATTTTTAAAACTTATATTTTTCAAAGTAGAAACAATACATTTATCAATAAAGTTGTTTGCGTTTAACTTTTTTGCCTTGGGTAACGAGTTACAGAGTCGGTTGAAGTGTTTCAATAATTATGATCTTCAAACATCCTCCACACTTAAATACCTGTGTTTTGTTTTCCTTCACTGCCATCTGACATATGTCTCTAACTAAATCATAAAAATAATATTTTTACTATAATTATCCCAATTTAGGATAAAACGCGACTTAGACGCCATATTAGTTTTGTATTTCTGTGAATTAGGATTTTAAACAACGTTGCAGTTTGTACTAAATTAGTCGTTTCGACCCAAAAAATATTCTCCAAACTAGTGCAGCCTAGGGTTGGCACGAGGTTGTGCCGACGCACAGTGCTTCGTCCCATGGACAAAAATCAAAAAATAAGTTAAAATTTACTAATATCTGAATATATAATTTTATACTTATAGCAATGTTCAACCATCCTGTATATTATTTTTCATAAACAGCGTTTTTGTTAGCAAATATTTTCACTAAAAATAAATTTTGCGGTCATTATCTCATCAGTGAAAAGAATAACATTCATAGTAGTTCTGTATATTATGGAGTTAAACGGGTACGTACTTAATTGAAAGCCACTATGGATATTGTTAAACAAGGTATGTACTTTAAATTTATGTCTAAACAAGTTCGTGATTGTTTAGTTTTTATTTATTTTTAAGCTGATTCTTAAATGGGTATAAAAATTTTACGTTTTCAAACTTCAAAAGGCATTTAAAAAAAACATATCAAAACATATCGTATTTATTGAATATTTTTGTTGCCATATTCATACACTTTTAATTTTTGTATAGTTCACCTGCGTCTGCTTGCGACGAACTTTATTTTATAATACTTTTCATATGGAGTAAAATTGATAAGCAATGCCGATCTGGCTAATACTTGGCTTGATCATAAGGACAAGAACTCAAAATTATTTGTATTTCAAAAAATATGTTCTTATTAGATATTGATGAACCTTCCAGTCAAATGAGACACCTGAAAAAGTCCACTATGTTGGAGCGAAACGTTGCATAAAAAAAGTGACCATCTTTCAATTTATTATAAAATCTCATACCCAAGAAAAGGAAAAAATAATATATGGATATGGTCTATTAAAGAGGTAACTATTAACATCCGAACCCCTCATACCGACAAAATGAACAGTAACAACGCGAAAAAGTAACATATTAGAAAATGATGTACAGAAATATCTTATATGTGAGGATACTTCATCTACCTGTGATTTGGATACTATAAATTTGGAAGATTCTGTCAGCAGTGATTCTCCTGAATCAGAGTAGTTACGATCTATGCATTTTGTTGTCCTAAAGTAAATTTATAGTATCTTAAGTTTTTTTTAATTAAATATAACATTAATGTTTCTTTTTCATTAAAAAAAACATTTTTTATCTTATATTAGGCTTATATTGTAGGAATCATGTTCTAATGTTATTTCAATTCTTTTTTATCACAGGAATTTATTTAATACTTACACCGTTTTCATACTATAACTTATTATTTGCTTAGATGGAACACAGCTCCAACATTATTATTATTTATAAGATTTTTTTTCATAAACGTGGGACTAAGAACATCATCATTTAGTACAATGAGAGTACTCATCATTTGTGTCAAATAAACCTAGTTTGAATAAATTGCTTACAATAAAAGAGAAGTTTTGGATTTTTGTCCTCTAGAGCCATATGTTCGAAGCACTGTGCGACGTTGCGCCCCGACGTTTGGTCGCGTGACACAACGTTGTCCCGACGTCCAAATGCTGCTTGGGTAACCTTTTTCAGTTCGCGGACCCCTAAAAAAATCAAGCACAATTTCAAGGACCCCCCTAATTAAAAAAAAACACTGAACTTTTAGGACAAATTATTATAGTACAAAAAAATACATTTTTGTCATACGCTCCCAAAAACAGCTATTTTACGGACTCATTTCAGTCCGTAAAATGTTTCTTTTTCGGCCTAGGCCGTAAAGGTCGTCATGGCAACCTTTATGGACTAAAATGTCTAAATTGTTGATGAATTTGTGTGATTTTGTGACAAATTTCGAATGACATGTCAAAATGCGATGAAATAAACAAACTCGTTACTAAGATATGAATTTATAAGCCAACTTTTTCAAACATTATAATTTCAAATATGGAAAATTTGCAAATATGCGTTCTAAAAAACTGTAAAAAGCGTATGACAAAAAATAGTGTATGTAACACGTACCTAAATTATGTTTTTTAGGACTCATCTACTATTTCGGACTCGGCTAACGCCTCGTCCGCAAACAGTAATGATTCGTCCTAAAAAACATCATTTTAGGTACTAGTTACATAAATAGCTATTTTGTGAAAGCGTTTCGAAATTGACAGTTTTTGATACTTATTTGAGATTCGAAATGACATTCATTTAGGCACTAATATCTAAAAGTGACATTTGTTTAGACACTATTGCCTAAAAGTAAAAAATGAAACGTTAGAAACAATGAAAATATTTATTTATTATAAATCTTAATAATAAAATCTTATTTAAATTATTAAAGTGAATACAAGAGGCATCCAAGTTTTCGTCTCTAAGAGAAATGCAAGTTGTAGGAGTCGGATTAAGTAAATTTCTTGTACTGGCAATGCTGGTAGATTCTGCTTCTACGTGAACTGCTTTTAATTTCTTATTTGGCGTATCTTTCTGTCCCATTATTCTATTTGCTATTTCGGTTTTCTGTTCAATTGAATTTTCAATGTAACCTCCAGCAACCGAGCTTGATCGCCAACCTCCATGTCGCTTTAAAACTGTTATGTCCGCTCCTGAATCTGCCAGTTGTTGCAGAGCTGCGCCCGGAAACCGGAAATAATGACCAGTGTATATGTATTCAATGGCGTTGGACAGTCCAAGAAACTCCGCTATCTTTTTTGGCATACCTCCAATTGTATTGATTCCAACTGGCAGGGTACAGAATTGATTTTTTCGATACGTCAAGAAAAATCGCTTACGTTGCACATTGAGTGGTCGAAGTTGTGAACTTACGAAATACATGTAAGAAATTGATATTATCTATTGATCCCTCAGTAATCTTTGAAAAATTACTTTTTTTTTACTTATCTTCACGCTAATAAATGACTGACAATCTTTAATGGCATCTACGGTCAAAAACGTGATTTCTTCCCTCTTACATGCACCAAATACTTCAACGATTAAGACAACTTTAGCTAACAGGAATTCGGCTTCTTTCATAAAGCGTTCTATTTCCAGTTTTGTAAATAGTTTTGATTTCTTTGCCTGATATCCGGAAGTTTTTCTTTTTAAAAATGGAATACGGTTTGTGAATTTGCTAATATCTATCTCGCAAAAGACATGGATTTTTAATCTCTTTCCATCATTATACTCCCGTGCAGGTTTTGCCTTGTCATTCAAACGGGCATTGTGACCACTGTGAGCGTGTTTTCCTTCAGCGCTATGAGAAAAGTTTTTTAGGTACTCAGAAAGTAAGTATTTCTTGATACTTGATTGGAAATAGGATTGTATATTATAACAATGCATTGATTACATGTTTGTTTGGTTGTTTTAGGGGTCTTTTCCTTGTCTGAATTTGTTTAATAACAAAACCTAATATACGTTTTGATTAATTTGAAGTGTAAAAAAAGTTTGAAACTAAATGGTATTTGGTATTCCATATTTGGATACTTTTCTCTATATTTTATTTCCTGAAATACTGAAGTAGATTCACATTGGCAGTAGATTCACAATGGACTGATTTGTTTTACATGTCATTAACATCTGCTACTGATAGGCATCTTATTGAAGAACCATGTATATTAATTTTATACAAGTTGAAACTGCAACCAAAACTTTTAAATTTTCGAAAAAAGTTGGAAGTATTAATAATTATTAGTTAAAAGGCATATTTTTAATAATATGGCTTGTAAATTAACCCTTAACTGGTCCGGCGTCGTCTGACAGACTACGCCAAATAAATAACTCAATCGCATTAGTTACTGGGGCCGCCTACAGGATTGGCGTTCCAGCTAATCCTCCCCCTCACGGTCAACAATTGATAGCCATATTTATAGTTTGGACTGGATGAGTTTTTGGATGAGTTTTTTAGAAGGATGAGTTTTTTAGAAGTTATGCCAAACTGGATGAGTTTTTTAGAAGTTATGGCAGAAGTTACTTAAGCCGTAGTCTCTCAGACGACGCCGGACCGTTTGTGTAAGATTTTGTGTGTTACAAACTTTTGTAAAATATAGCCGGGTTTTCGAAAAAATGCGTTTAGGAGACTCTAGTTATGAAGAAATTCTATTAAAATGATATGATGAGGACTGTGACAGTGACAATATGACAATCTGCAAGACAAATGCGTTTGACAATGTCAAATATTCCACGAGAAATACACTTTACAATTGGTAGAATACTTCCAATTCCTGTACAACCAGAAAATGCCTACGGAGATATTCTTATCCTATAGAGTTCTTATCCTAGTTAAAGACAATGTTATGTCCTAGTTAATTATTTTTAATGCCTAGAATGTACGATTTTATTGTGTAAAACATGTTTAGGAAAACAATGAACTTTGCCTCATGCTGTAACTAAATTTTTTTTCTTAACTCCAGTTTTATAACTTATTTTTTATATATATATATATATATATATATATATATATATATATATATATATATATATATAGTATTAAAAACTTATTTCTATATTGTAATGACTGTTAGTAATTTGGTTTTATTTTTTAGAGCTTGGTAAAAACCTAATTGATTTTTTTTTTCAAATTTATATGTATGTTATTTTATTTTGTACTATATTTTCTTAAAGTTAATATTAATTGAATCCATTTTTGTCTAGATTAGTTCAATAATACGTAATATAATATATAATGAAATAAAAATTTGTTATTTTTTAGTTTTTCTGCGTTTTTTAAACTTTTTAGAAGGCGTAGTCCCACAGACTACGCCGCACCGTTTATGATACATATCTATTACCGGACCAGTTAAGGGTTAAATTTAGAACAATGAAAATCTAGAAAAAATTCAGTGGTTCTCAAAATTGAAGCAAATAATATATATTTTTTAATTTTCGAAGTAAAATAACTCGGTTATTTTGGACTCATTTCAAAAACGCTAAGAACATATGTTTCTTTTATCGAAATCTACCAGCCCTTAAGATATTTGTATTTATTTAAGACTCACTCTGTATCTTTTTATATTACTATGTTTATATTCGTTTATTTTTTTTAAATAAAACATCATTATATTCATATTCAGTCGAGAAAAAAAAATATTTAAAAGATTTTTTTTTACTCATATTATATTTTTAGGGTAGTTTTTGTGGGTTATGTAGTATTTGTATTCTATGCTACATATTATGAGGGTGTGGCCCGGTACGAATCCAAGGAAGTATACAACCAACTGATGGAAACTCCTAAAGGAAAATTATTGTCTGCTTTTTCCATCACTAAAAACTGGATAAGACTGAAAACAGTAAATAGTACTAAAGAAGTGGAAAAATTACGATGTATACAAGGGATGAGGTAACAATAAGTATTTTATATTTGGTAAAACTTAAAAAAAACCTTGTACAATATACATAAAACAAGCGAGCAGAATAGAATGTGTAGTAGTTAAAACAACTTTCTTTGCACCATGCGTCGTCTTATGGAGTTTGCTGGTGGTCGTATTATGTGCAACGAAAGTTATTTTAATTTCCCCTGTAATTTTTCCTTATTCTTTTAGGTTATATAATACATGCCTGGTGGTTATGTCTCATACCGCACTTAGTCTTATCGGTCCACCAGTAGCTAATACAAAATACCCCGAATCAGTAAGTAAATATAATTCTGCTATTTTAACAATACTCAATATTGTTATATGAATTATTTATCTTCTGAGTTTATACTAAAAAATAAATCTAGAATAGATATATTTTATTCACAAAATTGTCGTTGAGTTCCTCTTCTTTCTATAAACAAACAAACGAGATATACAAAGCTAGACAAATATATAAAGTAAAATATGTCAAATCTTCTTCCAGATGCATCAGAACCCAGGTAGACTGATATTTTCCAGTGGACCTATATGTGTTGGTACCTTTTTCCTATTTTCGACTTTCTTGCTATCTAATGGACTATTTGATTACCTGAAAGACAAGAAGGAAATGAACATGAAGATGATTGTTTTTGCTATATTCAACAGATTTTTTAGGTGAGAGTTATCCTTATTATTTGTAGAAAACAGAAATATTTTCTGAATTTGATAAAGTTTTGTTTACCGTATTGAAAAAGTCCAATTAGTAGATCAATAGATTTATAATAGTTAATCATATATTAAATTTTCCGAAGTTCTTGTGTATGCAAGTATGTTGTGAGTAAATAGTTGTCTATTTTAAGTAGACTACACTACAATAGAAACACTAGAAGAAATCTTCCGTCAAATGGACTGGACCTAAAAGGATTAAAAATAACTGGAGAATATCTTAACCATCTAGTGTCTCCTCAATGAACACCTTGTCTCCTCAATGAACACCTCAGTAGATTGAAACTAAGAAGAAACGGCGAATGCAGATTCTGTGGGGAAGATGTTGAAACACCAGTACACCTCATCACTGAGTGCGCCGAGACGACAACCATTCGTGCCATGAATTTTGGTACGACTGATATTGGAGATGGAGAACTACCCTCTATAAAACCGTCCCAGATACTGGCTTTTGTCAAAGCCCTGGGACTGTATGATGAGTTATGATTCAAGAAAGGGGGACACAATGGATCTGTAAGGTCGAAGTGATTAACCCCCCTCCCACTCATTCTAATTCTAATTCTAATTCTAACCATCTAAGATTCGCTGACGACATAGTCTTAATTGCCAATAGTCCTGAAGAATTACAATCGAATCATCGGTTCGTGGTCGGAAACTCTACGCACTGCGCTATGGAGACATGTTCGATTTATATTCAATACCTACTAGAATTTAAAGGACTAATAAAAATATAGAATCTTCTTTCAATGCGCAGCAGGGAACGCAACGTTTACCGGCAGCCAGACGGGCCACATGCTGTTCTAGAGAGCATAGTAAAAGATATATCAAAGAGCCAGACGTCTTAAAATACTTGTTTTTCCGACGTTGCTAGCTCTCGTACTATTAGATATTATAATACCTCAGGCAATTTGGTGTACACATGCTTTTGGTTCAATTACCCATAGCAATTACACTGTGTTGAATTAAATTATTTACAAATTGTATTTTGTAGTAATATGTAGTAATCACATTTTTGCCAAAGTCATTAAATCATTTAATGGCCTTTGGCAGTCGTGTTATTTTGAAGAGATGTATAAGAATGATTAATAAAGAATCAAAAATAAAGAACTTTAATAAAGAATAAAATATAAAACTTAAAGAGGTCATGGAATAAAGAAACAAGTGTTATACAGTCTGTGTTTAAATAATAAAAATGTTTGCTTCTCAAAGGAACGCTGTTGAAAATAAGTTATTAGATTATATTTGTTGTTATTTGATGGTTTACGTGAATAACATAAATCAACAGAAAGAAGTACTTGTTTCTCTGCCAAGGTCAAACCTTGACCATCTGAATTTACTGACGTCAAGCACGATTTTTTTAATATGCAAAAATAAAACGTAGAATTTTTAATGTATGGTAATTTTGAAGAAGTTATTTGCATTATTTAGTTAAAATCAAAATTCATATAGATATTTAGTTATGATATACCTACCTTACTTGGCCAGAAAAGAAATGAAAAAAATAAAAGAAACATGTGAAATACAGGATGTAGTAGGACGGGCAATAAATAGGAGGAGAGAGTGGAGAGACCTTGTGGACAGAATGCCAAATGACCAGTTACCAAAGATATTTAAACTCAAGAGATACAATTGTTTACATTTTTTCTTCATCGGCCATTATTCTATCCTTATTTTCCCATCTCTCTTAAACCGAAAACCATGCCAGATTTGCCAGATTTACCTGTATATTGGTATTAGTATTCGATTAAATACCACAACCGATTTTGTTATTGCTAATAGAGGGAGTCTCATTCGCTGGATACGAACATGGTTTAGAACAAGATATTGAAACTGCATTTCTAATACACCAAAAATTTGATATTTTATTTAATAAAATAAAGTAAAAAAACACTTATTGCTTTTTTTAATCGTTATTCTTATGTGAAACGCCATCTTGTAATAAAAGATTATGCCGGTTTTTATTTATTTCACTATCTTCCCTCAACCTATTTTTTTATAATGCCACAAATATGTAAGTTATTTTATTTTTTTTTTAATTTATTAAACAATTATTTTAATTTTCTTAAGATACTGTCGGTCGATCGGCACGCCACTGGAAACACATACAAACGTCTAATCTTTGTACACACCTACATGGTTGCCATCGCGCAGATGCCTCTATTTCCTCCTCTATCCATTCTCTCTCGCATTCGTTGATTTTCGCAAACCAATTGGTGATGAAGTTTTGGAGCATTTTATGAATGGATCATTGTATCTCCCGAGTTTAAATATCTTTGCCAGTTAGCAAAAATAGCTACATAGAAACGAATAACACATCTCGACCGCCTGGACGACCACGTATAAGATTGTGTGAAATCTGGCCTTCATCATCTCAACTGTTCCTATGGAACCCTTGAACAAAAAACACAGGACTTAGTTCTAACTTATGAAGAAGAAGAAGAAAGAAGAGAACTTTTCTTTCTTCTAATTTAAAAAATGTTTTTTTATACATATCTTTGATAATCTGTAATAAACATTTTTTTTGTTAAAATGGATATGGTAAACAATGTTTATCGTTCAGACCCAATATTATTACATATTCTTGCATATTTCGATTTGTGGTCATAAGCATATTTCGTTTTGGGTTTCATAAGAAATTTGAGCATTGTTTTGGCCTTAAAATGCCTAGAAACATTATTTCGCAGTTTAATAGAGTCAGAATAGTAACACTGTCTCAACAGGGCTACCGCGGCAAGTTGCAATAGCTGAAATTGTAGAAGTTAACCAAAGCAATGTTTCGCGAATATTAAAAAAAATCAGGGAGACAAACAAGGTTACAGACCGGCCTGGAAGAGGTAGAAAGAGAGTTACTACTGCTGTGCAAGACCGTCAAATATGCCTAATTGCACGACGCAATCACCTGCTTTCTAGTACTGCTATTAAAAATGAGTTAGCTCGCCTTGAAGGAGTAAATGCTTCAAGAAAGACCATAGCAAGAAGATTCCATGACAGAGGATTACATTTAAGGAGGACTCTACAATGGGCTGAGGAGATGAGAGCAAATGGATCTAATTGGAATTTCGTCACGTTTAGTGATGAAACAAGAATAGGCCTAGTGTCAGACTCGCGACGAACTTTGGTCTGGGGAGCATCTGGAAGAAGCACGCTTGAATGGAGCTCAACGCCGTGTCCCGTTTCAAGGGGGAAGCATTATGGTATGGGCAGATATAAGGGACGGAGCTCGAACTCCTCTTGTTTTTATTGATGGCACACAGGTGCCTCATATCTTAGAGACGTTTTAGAGCATATTGTGCGTCCATTTCGAGGGGAAGTGGGGGATGAATTTGTTTACATGGACGATAATGCTTCTCCCCATCGGAATTTAGCGGTTCGCGAATTTTGTGAGAAAGAGGGTTTAAGAAAACTGTGGTGGCCACCGATGTCTCCAGATATGAATATCATGCTTGGGACATGCTAAAACGTCATATTGCCAAAAGGAATGATCCCCCCCGTACCTTAAATGAATTGAAAATTGCTGAGCGCGAAACATGGGAAGCCATTCCTCATCATCTTCTGGACAACTTAATTGAGGGCATGCCACGTCGTCTCACAGCTTGCATTGAGGCTCGAGGAGGCAATACAGACTATTAGTTGTGAGAAATAATTAAAATTGTTTTCAATATTTTCTGTTTAAAATGAAATTCGTTTTTGTTGGTTTTTCACTCATTATGAAATAAAATTATAACAACAGCCTAGTTGCACGTAGATTTTTAATTTTATATTAGTTAGTCGTGTAGTAAGCCAATATGTCCAAAAATATAAAAAGAATCATATTAGGTTCAAAACAAAATAAAAATATCGTTATATGCAATAATTTTGGCCATGTGTGTAATCAACTATCTCCATTACTAAGTAAATCTAAACAGTGCCCTTAAAAATAAGGTTTTTTAGTTAGAATAGAATATCATATCGTGCAATTGTTAAGTCATTGGTGTCAGATATGACAAGTATTGTCATACACAATAATTTTGAATAATTGAATATGTGATGCTTCACAATTATGTTCTACTCTATCCTCACAATTTGAGGAAATTTAAACTAAAATTATACAGAGTATAAAGGGTATTAATCAGTTAATTTTTTATAGGTTAACGCCAACAGTACTAGTGGTGGTACTGTTCCACGCAACGTGGTTACGTCATTTGAGTAGCGGTCCTAAATGGAACGAGTTCGTTGGCTACGAGTTTCTAAAATGTCGTGCCAATGGCTGGACAAATATTTTGTATATTAACAATTGGTATGATACGTATGTCATGGTACGTAACAAATAAGTATGTTTTATTACGTTTTATCTACGTTACTGAGTTAGGTTAGGTCTTAACTCACTCAAAATGCGTGAGTTAAGAGCTTCTTAACTGACGCATTTTCATTACCGCACTCCTTGTTTAGATGACTACCAAAGAGAAAAAATATTTTGTAAAACATTTATTTTGCACTAAATAGAAATAAACTGTTCTATTGATAATAACTATAAAAACATGAAAACTTATTTATTATAAATGTTAATGATACAGTTTGAACAATCTTTCAAGTAAATGCCTGATGAAGCAAATATATTCATTTTAATAGATATCATAGTACGTATCATTGAATAGAAAGCCCAAAGAGACGAAGGCTTATAAGTAGAGGATAAACTGGAAAAATATGTTATGAGTAGGTACCTTTTCATATAGCATTCTGGAAGCAATCCTGAAATGGCTCTGAATGACTCTTTTTCAATGTCAGAGGGAATACTTTCCGAATCGCTCATTTTTTAAACCAGTGACATCAATATTATTTACTGTCATATTGACATTGCCATGCATGGTGTTATTTGAACAAAGGTATTAAGATTAAGGTAATTGATTTTTAGGATAGATATATAGTTAAGTAAAATAATTTTTAAAATTTGTGCGTTTTTATAGTTAGACGTAGATAAAATACAGTACAATACGCGCGAGTTATAACTCCATTAAGATACTTGTGTGGTTATACAACTCGTGCTACGCACTTGTTGTGCAACTTTGACGGGCGTATCTTAATGATGCTGTTAATTCACTTGTATCGTAAATATCTATTATGTTATCATTTATGTTGACATTACTGACATTTTAAAATTTTGAAAATATCAGATTTCACAGGGTGAGTTTTCTACTGACAGTTTTTTTTTAATTTTAGCCACTCGGTTAAAAAAAACATTTGTTGTAACTTACTAAGTATAAAATATTTATTAAATTATTTTAGTGTGTTCCAGTTACATGGTACCTGGCGCTGGACACCCAGTACTTCGTCATGGCACTGTTTTTGATCAAGTTCCTGAAAGCAAACGAAAAACACTTCTCACTTATTATAGGAACCATCTTGGGCCTGACAATGATTGCTAGTTTCTGTCAAAATTATTACTACGATTTTTCGGCGTTGATACTTCCCGTACCCGAGTAGGTTTTTATGAAATTGTTTTAAATAACTTTATACTATACCGGATGCGTTTAAAAAGTGGCTCACTCCTATAAGTTTTTTTTAGATAAAAAAACGATATTTGGTGTGTTAGTATATGACATAAATTAGGATTGATTGACGTATTCAATTGTATTCGGTTATTTCCTGTTTCACCGGAAGTGTCTACCACAGTGGATTTTTAAATGGCACCCTCGGTATTTTTTTTTTACTTTATTTGATAGAAAATGACACTCTGAATAGGATCACGTATCACATGTCAACATTTGCCATTTTTGCATATGGTTTATTTAAAATAGTAACATGCGGTTCATAACGACATTTTGACTCGAAATACGAAGTGTGTGGTATGAAATTATTCGTAAAAAAATACTTTTTCCAAATATGCTAATGAGCCACCCTTGTTCCATTTGAGAAAATTGATTCAAAATTAGTTTTGAGTTATGACTAAAAATACGATTTGGACATCTTTTAACCGGCCAGGACAAGACACAAAAAACATTAGACGATCAAATCTATTTTCCCAAGGCTTCTTGCTTAAATATTAGCAATTAACACAGCCATGCCACTCTAGATGGAAATTTAAAATACGTTTTTTAAACTAGCATGTCAAAAGTTGACGTATGATATGTCGTTCTATTCAGAGTGTCATTTTCTATCGAATAAAGTAAAAAAATACCGAGGGTGCCATTTAAATATCAAAAGTTGTAGTTATTTCCGGTGAAACAGGAAGCGAACGAAAATAATTGAATATGTCAATCAATTCTGATTTGTGTGATACACTAAAAACCGAGGGGTCAACCACCATGTTAAAAAATGTACAATGATTTCCATATTTGGCAATCACTCATCAGTTACTCCCATGTATTCCCAAATATTGCCACTGATTTCCACTAATTGCCAAGTATTTTTATCCGATTCCCAAGTGATTCCCAGTTTTTTAACGATTCCCATGTGATTCCCGATTGATTACCTGATTTCCTCGCTGATTTCCTAAGCAATCACTTGATTCCCAGCCAATTTAATTACGAAAACAATGTTTAAGTGTTTATTTTCGTTTTATTGTGATCGGAAAATATGTACTAGCCGCATCTAGCAAAAAAAATGAATATTTTAAAACATCAGAAATTTTAAAAAATATTTCTTCATTACGCCATAAGCAATAATAAGCATGGTTTCTTAGAGATTTCATTATATTTCATTATAAATTGCAAGTTATAATAATTAAAATACACATACAGTACGTCTGTCCGTTCTGTAGCTACGGGGTATCCGTGAGAGGGGAAAAGATATTCTCTCTATATTTCTCGTAAAAAATTAGACGACGCGTCCCATCAATAAAAATTCAACAAATTTGCAAGTAGCCAATAAAATGAGTGGGCGGATCGATTTGCGGTGACGTATCGTCAAGTCGACGTATAAAATATATTGTTGTTTATTTAAATGTTTTTTGTCCGCATTCCTTTCATAGACACAGATCCAGCAGACGTACTGTACCTACCTACATTTAATGCTAAAAAATGAAACAAAATATGATGAACTGAAACTAAGAAAATCATTATGAATGACATGCGAGATACATTAACTAAGTAAAACTAAAACATACATAATAGAGGTATACCTATTTGGCTTGTAAGTTAAACAGAATAAAAAAAAACATTGCACTAAAAATATTGAGGCAGGTACCTACTGCAATAGGAACATGGCATTAAAAATACATTGGCTAAAAAAACTAAAATATTATTACCTATTTAAAAAAAGAACGAAAATGATAAATAGTATCTAAATAGATAAATTATTAACATTTATAATCTTTGTATTTTTTCAACCAAATCGTTTCTCTTTATAGTAAACCGATCACAGCCCCATAATGTGATAGGTCCATGAAAAATGAAACGTCGATGAACTTCTTGTATATCGTCTTTTTTGGGCCATTTAAAAATATCCTTGTCCTGTTGTAAAAATTTCATTTTAAATTTTTCTGATTTGCAGTTAATTACTAGCCCTAGATACCATTGCGTGTCATAGTACACAGCATAATATGAGTCTAAGCTAATGGACTCGATAATGGACAATTTAGTCTTAATCGAGGTCTTAATCAAAAACACCCTCTCCACCCCTTACTTCTTAAAACTGCATGTTTGTATTTGTTTTGATAAGAAAATTATGAACTTACATCCTTTACACCCTTCACCCACCTACACTCATTTTCGTTGATTAAATTGCGAGTTAAATTGTATTATCGCCAGATCAAATCATCAATCTGAATACCGCCTATTCATATTTGATTTGGTTCCAAAATTGTGAATTTCCCCCTTTCACACCCCTCACTCACCCTCTTTTTTTTCATTAAATTGTTTTTTTACCACATAAAATCATGAATCTGAAACTGCAAGGTCGTATCATTTTTTATTCCAAAGTTATGAGTTTTTACCCCCTCTACACCCCTTACCTACCCCCTCACCGTTTTTTTATAAAAATTTCTTGTTATCAAATCAAAACATAAATCTGAACACCGCATATTTGTATCAGTTTTCATTACAAAATTCTGAATTTACCCCCTTTACACCCCTCACCCACCCCTGTATTTCCGATTTTTTTTTCATAAGATAAGAGTTCATAAAACATAAAATCCCCGATAAAATCATAAAATCTAAAAACCGCATGTTTGTATCTGTTTTGGTGCCAAAGTTATGAATTTACCCCCTTTACACCCCTTAACCACCCGCTATCCCCATTTTTTTTCATAATAATGTATTGTCATCGGATTTACATTACTGTGCCAAATTTCATTAAAATCGGTTCACGGGAAGTGTGTCAAAAATGAATCGCAAGATTTGACAGACAGCCCAATCAGACAATACAAGTTAAATTAAATCGTTTAATCGAGCGTTTAATAATACAAATATGTCGTGACAATCATAAAGATACTTTTTAACTCTTGGTGCTCTTGTATTATTTGAATTTTATGATGATAATAATACAGTCATTTTAATTTAATTACATATTTTTTATCAATTAGCTACTTTTGAAAATACATTTTTGTTTAATCTGAACGCACCCACAAATCAAAATTGACAAATAAAATTTAACCTTATTACCGAGCTTGTTACCATCTGGCTCAATGACTAAAGAATATAAGGACATGTAACGTCCATATATAGGGGCTACAACAGAATTTGTGACCTTAGACGCCATTCTTTTGATGGCAAACAAAGAGTCATCATCTGGTCACCAGCGACAATTTTAGCGATTTTTAATAGTTTGTGTGTAGTGAACTTTGTATAAATTTTATTACAATGGTGATTAGTTGTTCAGCTTTCAAGTGTAAAAGCAGCAGGGATAAGAAAGAGCCAGGAGTTACGTTTCATAAGTAAATAAACAGTCAGCTCCACCTTTTTAGCGTTTTTTAGTTTTCTTATTGAATTCGATAATTATTTTTCTGATATTACTCGTATATGTACTTGATATGTGATATACGTCGATACTAGTTTTGTACCTTTTGTTAACATTTTAATACGTTTTTTTCTTAATTAATTAGTATGATACCATAGTATACACCATAGGCGTAGTCAAAACATTTATCAAAAAATATAAATATCTCTTCAAACAACTAGGTTAAGAAAAATATGTGCCACGGCACTGTTTAGTGACATCGTCACAATTTGCTCTCGGGTGTTATTTGTCCTTGGATTCTTTAGTCATTGATATGGCTTGAAAGCTAGAAATCTGAAATCAGCTGTTGATAATCGGCCATTTTTTATTTTATTATTACACACCCGTCTAACGATACTTTAGACACCAAGTAAATATTAAAATTAGTTGAATTTTTAAATAATAAATATTATACAAGCAACGAAGTATATTAAATAATATTAATAAAGTACAGAGTAGAGTACCTACTTATCTTACTGCTTTAGCAAAAGTTTTACGGGCCTGAACACTTCACAATAAATAGGTAAAGTACGTCTACTGGATTTGTGTCTATGAAAGGAATGCGGACAAAAAACATTTAAATAAACAGCAATATATCTTATACGTCGACTTGACGAGTACGTCACCGCAAATCGCTCCGCCCACTTATTTTATTGGCTACTTGCAAATTTGTCGAATTTTTATTGATGGGACGCGTCGTCTAATTTTTTACGAAAAACATCGAGAGAATATCATTTCCCCTCTCACGGATACCCCGTAGCTACAGAACGGATAGACGTACTGTACACATGCGAACGGGGACGCCGCGTCGTGAAAAACATTTGTATAATGACATGTGATTTCTAAGTTAGGATGAGGTGATTCCTAACGATTACCACATCATTCCCAGCGATTGCCAGTTGATTCCTAGGTGATTCCCAGGGATTCCCATGTGATTCCCAGGTATTCCCAGGTGATTCTCAGGGATTTCCATGTATTCCCAGTTGATTGCCATGTCATTCCCAGGAAAATGTACAATGATTTCCACTAGTGGTTTACCCCTCGCTAAAAACAAAACTTCGTTTATTTATCTGAAAAATTAAAAAAGTTATAGGGGGTGAGCTACTTTTAAGATACTTTTTTTGTTATTGTTAAAAGTATTATCCTTGATATATAAACAAGGATATTATACACAGTGGCGCACCTCATTCGCCTCGGTTGATTATACGAAAACGATACGAAAGATGTACAAACAAAATATTTTATGGGTATATGTGGGGAGGCAATGGGCACAATTTAAAATTATTTTGAAATATACAGGGTGTTTCAGAACTAAGATCCACACCATAGTTATATTTCTTCTTATGGAACACCCGGTATTTTATTTCATTTTTGGATTCTTGGGCCCAAAAAAGTCATTTATTATAAGGGTTAAATATGTTTAAAATCTTTATTTTTTGAGATATTTAAAGATATTTAAATTTGCATGCTACAATAGAATATATTATTAATAGCCTGTACATCACTTTTCAGAATTAATTCTTGTGCTAAGTTTAAAGGTAAAGAAATAAACTTTACTGAAAAATGGCATTGCTTTCTTAAATTTATACAGGGGTATCAAAAATTCCTGATCTATTTTAAGGATTTATTTTATATAAAAACTTCGTTATTTCAAGTGCAACACCCTGTATTTTTTAAATAAACCGAAGCAGATTTAAATGCTCTTTCAAACTATATTAGGGTTTCCTATACCTATCTAGCTCAGATTTTGAATAAAAAGCGATTTTTAAATAAAATTTCAATCAAGATGGCTGGTGGCGCCATTGCAATTTTCTAGTGACAGTTAGTAACTATTTTCAAAGCCGACATTAGTTTATGGACATTATTATTTATAATTTATAACGGTTTACTTAGATTTACCTACAATAGTTTAATAAGTATGTTTACCAAGAAAAATAAAGCAGTATCTGCTGGCGGAATGAATGGATATGTTTGTAGTGATTTTATTTTGTGAGGAAAATTACTTATTGGCCTCAAGAGCTTATGCTCAAAGGTATCCAAAAATAGAAATATTCCTGATAAGCGTTCCTTTGAAAAACTACTTGTCCTATTTCGCAGAGCTGGTAATGTGGTTTATAAAAAACCTATTAGGCAGAAACCTGTCATTGGAAGTGAAGAGAATTAATTTGCCGTAATTGTCTTTTTTATAGAAAATCCATATAGGTATCTACAAGTCATCGTAAAATAAATCAAAGAACTACTTCTTCGTTTTTCTTATTCTACCAAGAAATAAATACATATTTAATAAATATTATTTATTAAACTGTTTTAGGTAAATTAAATAAAAGTAAACTGGTATAAATTTAAATAGCCCATAAACTAATTTCGATTTTGATAATAGCTACTAACTGTCACTAGAAACTTGCCATGACGACACTAGCCCTCTTGATTGCCATTTTATTGAAAAATTGCTCTTTATTATTAACTCTAATATAGTTTGAAAGAGCATTTGAATCTGCTTCGATTTATTATAAAAAATACAGTGTGTTGTATTTGAAATAACGAAGTTTTTCTGTAAAATATATCCTTAAAATAGATCAGCAATTTTTGATAACCCTGTATAAATTTAAGGAAGCAATGACATTTTCCAGTAAAGTTTATTTCTCTACCTTTAAATTCAGCACAAGAATTAATTCTGAAAAGTAATATACAGGGTGTTAATTATCTATTTTATAGTAGCATGCAAATTTAAATATCTTTAAATATCTCAAAAACCTAGTGATGGGTTGTTATTTAACTATCTGTTATTTTATAACAATTATTTATAAATAACATAACGCAACCGTTACTACTTCTAAAAAATAACAGATATAAAATAACGACACGTAGAGATCGGCCGCTCGTGAAACGAAAAACGGCGCTCTGCATCACCACGAAATTCTATGCTGCTTGAAGCAATTCCAAAAAACAACTAGTATGGATGGAAAATATGTTAGCTTTTTTCGTTTTCCTGTTATTACCGATTCTGAATCGTCCTAGAACTCTGCAGCACATGCGCAAATGAAATAATGTGTTCATATTTCCTTCTGCGCATACGCATCACAGTTCTAGGACGGTTCAGAATCGGTAATAACAGGAAAACGAAAAAAGCTGTTATTTCATCAACCATCGATACAGGCGGCGAGACAACGGACAACGGAGTGGGGAAAGTGCTACGGCGAACGTAGCTGCTTCGGTCGATACCGTCGATGGTCGTATTTACAACAGCTTAAAAATAATAGGATATAAAACAAGCAGGTTTTTTGAAACAGTTGCGGGCATAACGCCTGGCGGTGGAGATAACAGGAGTAGGTAAGGAACGCTGCTGCATCGGTCGATTGTCGATGGAGGCTCGCAACGGGTTGGAGAAGCAGTCATTTTAGATATGTTGTTTTTCAACCTGTTACGAGCATAACAGGGCGGCGGTCGAGGTAATCGGTGTGGGAAAGGAACGCTGCTGCATCGGTCGATTGTCGATGGAGGTTCGAAACAGGTTGGGGAATAATGCATCAGTTGTTTTAGATACATTCTGTTTCAACCTGTTACGAGCATAACGGACGGAGGTCGAGATATTATGGCGCTGTATATTTCAGTACTTACGTATTAAGTTTCAATATTTAGGTATTTATTTATTCTGAGAAATTTTCAGAATAATATTTTAAGATTTTTAAAAATGTATACAGGGTGTTTTGAAAAATCTGGTCATTGATTAATCACGATCCTGCTTAAAGCCCTTGACGTAAAAAGCTGATTTTTGGAAAACGGATTGACTTTAGCGTGTAGAGGTTCGATAAGAAGGGATTTTTCGAAACTCGAATTCTAAGGGGGTGAAACTACTCTGAAATATTAGAATATTTTTTATTTAAAAACCGGTGAGTTTTTCGGAAAAACTCGTAAAACACTTTATTATGTTGTTTTACATATTTTAAGATTTTTTAAAAATATATACAGGGTGTTTCATAAAATATGACCATTGAGTAATCACTATTCTGCTTAAAGTGCTGGACGTTTAAAGCTGATTTTTTGCAAACGGATTGACTGTGGGGTTGAGGTTCGATAAGGAGGGTTTCTCAAATCTCAAATTCCAACAGAGTAAAAACGCCTCTCAAATATTACAATATTTGTTATTTAAAAAACGGTTAGTCTTTCGGGAAAACGTCTGGACACGCATAATTTATTTTGTTTTTTTACGTATTTTGAAATTTTTTAAAAAATCATACAGGGTGTTCCAAAAAGATGAGTAATTGATTAACCACGATTCTGCTTAAACTGCTCGACGTTAGAAAGCTTATTTTTGGCAAATGTGAGAAAATTTTATCCAGTTTGTATGTTAATGGAAATTCTTGTTTTGCTTTATCATCACCATTAGAAATTATTAATTCGACGCGAACGAAGTCGTGGGTACACGCTAGTTTAAGTGTAAAATTAATTCGAACTCTAGTGTGTAGTTGGTTTACTTATGAAGAATATACTACACATTTTCTTATATTGCTATTTTTTGACCGCAAATGGTAAAATCATAACTAAGAGCTTCTCGTCCGTCGAGTGAGATGCACCCTGTACACTGCTACGCAATTCAGGATCTACGCGGATCGAGTGGCAGTGGCGGAATTTTGGCTTTTTTTATATCGCAATTTGTAAACAGCGCTTATTTGTAAACAACCACCGTTTTTAGAGAGGTATTTTAGATAACAATCGATATTTAGAAATGTTTTGACACCCTGGAAATACTACCACCGAGCACGTCATTGTTGCAACTTGCAACTGCGTTAATACGCCTGGCGGTGACCGTCTCATACTCTTTCAGATATTTAGCAGTAAAATAAAGAAACCTGTTATTTTTAAGCTGTTATTTTAAGCTGTTTTTTATAAATAACTATAACAGTTTCAACTGTTATCTAAAAATAACAGTTTTGCCCATCACTACAAAAACCAATGATTTTAAACATATTTAACCCTTATAATAAATGCCTGTTTTTGGGCCCAGGAATTCAAAAATGATATAAAATACCTGATGTTCCATAAGAAAAAATATAACTTTGGTATAGATCTTAGTTCTGAAACACTCTGTATATTTCAAAATAATTTTAAATTGTGCACATTGCCTCCCCACATATACCCATAAAATATTTTGTTTCTACATCTTTCCGTTTTCGTATAATCAACCGAGAAGAATGAGGTGCGCCCACCCCCCCCTTGTATTATAAAATAGAATTATTAATAATGATTATTATAATTGCAAATATGAGTATTACGTTTATTTTAGGTTTTTCTATGGCATAAAGGATTTACTGGGAAGCTTTCAATTTCACTACCAGGTCGGTAGTTTTATTGGCAATATATCTCCAGCAACAATAGGCATTGCTTTTGGTTATTATTTCTACAAACATAAGTACGATGAACCTGATCAATATATATTTCGAACAAAGGTAATTACCTCTTTTTTTCTATTATTGATTTAACTAACCATACGCGTATCCAAAATTATTGCATATGATTGTTTGGTAAAATGAAAAGACGTCTTCATTTTTGCAAAGCTTGCGCTGTGTTGTTTCTTGCTCCAGTTGCACTTAGAGCTGCTAATCGCTGTACTTCTGTGTTTTTTTTATTAGTCTCTTTAAGTACCGCTTCCCATCATACTCTGTAGAATGTCGAATGTTTAGGAGGGGAACTAATCATCGCGACCTTATAGATCTATTGTATGTTCCCCTTTCTTGAGTTATAACTAGTTATAACTCATCATACAGTCTCAGGGCTTTAACAAAAGCCAGTATCTGACACAGCTCCACAAAGGCCAACTCTCCATTCTAGACATCAGCCATACCAAAATTCATGGCACGAATGGTCGTCATCTCGGCGCACTCAGTGATAAGGTGTTCTGGTGTTTCCCCATTTTCCCCACAGAATCTGCATTCGCCGTTGTTTCTCAGCTTCAGCCTACTGAAGTGTTCGTTGAGGAGGCAGTGTCCTGTTAGAAACCCCGTGACAATCCGAAGATTGTTTTTACTTAAATCAAGGAAAACCGTCGTAAGTTCTGAGAAACTTTTTCGAGTCTCTTAGACCGTGGAGGACACCCATTCCAAGTTACGGATAGAGTCTTCCAGATTCTTCAGTTCCGCTTTCAGTTAGTTCCCGTTTGGAAAACAGATCGGTTCTGGTCCAGTTAGTGGGAGTGTTCGCTCCTTTCTTAGCTAGATCATTTGCCTTTTCATTGCCTTCTATCCCTTGGTGATCAGGCACCCTGAGTAGGAGGACTTTATTTTCTTTGCCTAATTTGTTGAGCTTCTCTAGGCATTCTTTGACCAACTTCGAATTGATGGTTACTGAGTTGATCGCGTTAAGTGCTGTTTGACTATCGGATAGGATGCCAATTTCCTGTTTTCGATAGTTCCTCAGATAAATTGTACGCATCTTTCGATAGCGTAAATTTCTGCCTGAACCACGCCTCATTCGCCTCGGTTGATTATACGAAAAAGGAAAGATGTAGAAACAAAATATTTTATGGGTATATGTGGGGAGACAATGTGCACAATTTAAAATTATTTTGAAATATACAGGGTGTTTCAGAACTGAGATCCATACCAAAGTTATATTTTTTCTTATGGAACACCCAGTATTTTATTTTATCTTTGGATTCTTGAGCCCAAAAAAAGGCATTTATTATAAGGGTTAAACAATTAAAATATTAAGATATTTAAATTTGCATGCTACAATATAATAGATTATTAACACCCTGTACATTACTTTTCATAATTAATTCTTATGCTGAGTTTAAAGGTAGAGAAATAAACTTTACTGAAAAATGGTATTGCTTCCTTAAATTTATACAGGGGTATGAAAAATTGCTGATCTATTTTAAGAAATTATTTTATATAAAAACTTCATTATTTCAAATGCAACACACTGTATTTTTTACAATATACCAAAGCAAATTCAAATACTCTTTCAAACTGTATTAGGGTTTCCTATATATATCTAGCTGAGATTTTGAATAAAAAGCGATTTTTAAATAAAATTGCAATAAATAAGATGGCTGGTGTCGCCATAGCAATTTTCTAGTGACAGTAACTATCAAAGTCGACATTAGTTTATGGACATTATTATTTATAATTTATAACAGTTTACTTAAATGTACCTACAATAGTTTATTAAGTAAGTATTCATTATTTATCAAGAAAAATAAAGCAATTATTTAGATCTATGATTTTATTTTGTGAGGAAAATTGCTTCTTGGCCTCAAGGGCTTATGTTCAAAAAAAATATCCAAATAGGAATCTTCCTGATAAGCGTTCCTTTGAAAAACTAATTGTTCTATTTCACAAAGCTGGTAGTGTGGTTTATAAAAAACCTATTAGGCAGAAACCTGTCGTTGGAAGTGAAGAAAATTAATTTACCGTAATTGGCTCTTTTATAGAAAATCCATATATACAAGTCATCGTAAAATAAACCAAAGAAGTATTTCTCCGTTTTTCTTAGGTAAATTAAATAAAAGTAAACTGGTATAAATTTAAATAAGTCCCTAAACTAATTTCGATTTTGAAAATAGCTAGTAACTGTCACTAGAAACTTGCCATGACGACACTAGCTCTTTTGGTTGCCATTTTATTGAAAAATTGCTCTTTATTCAAAATCTGAGCTAGATAGGCATAGGAAAACCCTACTATAGTTTGAAAGAGCATTTGAATCTGCTTCGATTTATTTAAAAAAATACAGTGTGTTATATTTGAAATAACGAAGTTTTATATAAAATAAATTCTTAAAATAGATCAGCAATTTTTCATACCCCTGTATAAATTTAAGAAAGCAATAACAATTTTCTATAAAGTTTATTTTTCTATCATTAAACTCAGCACAAGAATTAATTCTGAAAAGTAATCTACAGGGTGTTAATAATCTATTCTATTGTAGCATGCAAATTTAAATATCTTTAAATATCTCAAAAACCAAAGATTTTAAACATATTTAACCCTTATAATAAATGCCTTTTTTTGGGCCCAAGAATCCAAAAATGAAATATAATGCCAGGTGTTCCATAAGAAAAAATATAACTTTGGTATGGATCTTAGTTCTGAGACACCCTGTATATTTCAAAATAATTTTAAATTATGCACATTGCCTTCCCACATATACCCATAAAATATTTTGTTTGTACATCTTTCCGTTTTCGGATAATCAACCGAGGCGAATGAGGTGCGCCACCCTGTATAATTGTTATATTTCTTAATTCTTTCAGTTTAGGCAAGGAATATGGTGGATAATGACTTTTATAACAGCTTTCCTTTACTTGATTATCACCGGATCTATAATATTAAATGTGGAGACTGAACACAATGCCTTCTGGGCATCCGTCTATGTAGCTGTTTCTCGTCCACTGTTTGCTTTCATCATTGGACTGGGCGTTATTGGGTTTACGGAAGGAATCGGCTGTAAGTGTTAAATTAATTTATACAGGATGTATCCAGCTGAGTTGGCCATTAGTAATTTAGAAAAAAACTACAATGTATAAAATGGAGATTGTTTACGAGAGATGTTATGTTAGGCCTTTATGGAAAACCAGTGATAAGTCTATATGTATATTTGATTTGTCTAAATCATCTCATTGGATTACATACATACAACTCACTGGATATTACACAGGGAAAGCCAAAAATTGATTATTTCCGTTTGATATAAAATTGCTGATTTTTTTTTAAATTCAGCGCTAAGTATGTATATTATTTAAAAAATCAAAAGACTAATAAAACAGCTTTTTAACGATATTGTTCCTATACCTAAACATTTCGGTTTTTTAAGGTAGAGCATATTTAAAGATTAATATATTTTTTTTCATAGCAACTGTTAAAATTGCCTTATATCTATCAAAAATAGTAGATAAAATAGTGTTGCGGACCGGTGTGGACTCGACCTAACCTAACTATATGTCCCGCCCTCAGGTGACATTAACATCGCATTAAAGAATAGACACCGTAATGATTCATTCGAAGTTTCGAGAAGAATCGAGTTCCCCTGAAATGGAGTAGTAAATACGAGAACAATCGAAACCTTCTCTATGCACCTAACGATCTATGGCCTATTCGAGAAATCTTTAGCTGTGGGTATAAAAGCCGGCGGCTGGGGCCTAAAGAGGGCAGACATAAAATAGACGAGTACAGTTGACGCGCTAAAATTCAAAATTCTTGCTAGATAAATAGTTATAAATCGTTTGTAAATAGTGCTTTAAGTTTTTTATCGTTATTGTTTTTGTTAATTAGTGTCAAATAAATTCTGTTTAAATAAATTATGACTTTCTATCCACACGGAACCGACGAAAAACGTAATAATAGTACTCTAACCGCAAGGGTAGATTAAATGATACTTTAGCAGCGAGTATAGGTTAAAAACTTTATTTCTTCTCGCACATTTTTTGCTTTCATTTTGAAAACTTTTGTATTCCTTTTCATAATACATTCGGGATTTAAATGAAAGTAGTTTGGATATGGCGTTTGTCGCCTCAGCCTGAATATCTGTTGCTAATTTACTTAATTCGTTTTGAGCCATTCCTGGCTCCAAAGCAATCGACACGAAAGAGAACATAGATAATTAAAAAATATTGACTCAAAACTGACAACTAAAGAGACAGCTTTATTTATTTGTCAAATTATATAGAAACCAACGCCAACCCAGCACAATATTTTTTCTACTCGTAATAAATTCCTTGAAATAATAATTACTGAATATTTTTTAAAAGGGGACTCTCTATGGAAAAATATATTGTTTTATACACGACTATAAAATTGCATTATCGTCTCCCGAAATTAATTCACTCATAAAATACCAGTTTATAGTCTTGTATAAAAAATAACCATGATTGTTATAGTCTCATTTCAAAAATCTCGTTACCATGGCAATTTTAGAAATTTAGCAAGTAAACTCTAATTGATACTTATAAAGTTTGAATATTTGTCATGGTAACGATTTTCTTTAAACGAAATATGTAACTATAATAGAATTATTTATCCTTTAAATCGCTTTACTAAAGAAACCAGAAGGTTTAGGTATAGGAACAAGATATATCACCTAAAGCAATTTTATTTGTTTTCCGATTTTTTTAATAATATACAAAGGCTTGAATTTAAAATAAAAAAAAATAATTATAAACTCACCGGCAAAAAAACCGGCCACTAAAAACTAGTCCCAATTTCAAAGTTGGATTTCTCGCGAAACACTTATTAGATTTGATGATTTTTTTTTAAATTGTAAATTCAATCCTCCTTAACGGATGCTACGTCAGAAATTTTTATTCCGAATTTATTTTGAGCATAATATGCTCAAAATAAGCATAATAGCTAATATGCATATATACAGGGCACAACAATAAGACGAAGTTTTTTGCCCGAACTTTGTAACACCCTGTAGGGTGCAGCAGCTGTAGTAGCTATTGCTAAATCAAATCACATTCCAGCTTCATCTTTTGTGAGCATTTTGTTTTTTTAATCACGACATTATCTCTCTTTTTATTGGAGATATGCTGCTTTAGAACGAACGTCTCGGGGAAATGCTTCGCAGAAAGAAAGTTTTGTGTGTCAATCAAATAATCAAGGCGACATAGGCAAAAACGGATTTATGAGTATTTGCAATATGACAACAACGGTTGTCAAATTAAAAAAAAACATTATCTATGACAAATGTTGCTCGTATTGTGGCTTTAATTGAGGATTTCCGAAGTCAACTTTATATGTCCGATACCCTGGGCATACCTCGAAAAACAGTCGTGCCTCGAATCGGTATATGGAAACGGAAAATTTCACCAGGCGAGTGGGTTCCGGAAGAAAACGGAAGACAAATGCAATTAACGACCGCTTTATTGTCCTGAATACTTTACGAAATCGTAGAATTACAGCGTGTCAGAATCAACATCTGCTACAAGCGGTGCGTAGAACTCAAGTCAGTGAGAGAACAATCCAACGAAGACAAAAAGAATCCAGCTTGTCTGCAAGGAGTATGGCATATTGAGTTATGGACTAAATCTATTTTGAGGCGTTTGTTTTAAAGCAGCGTATCTCCAATACAAACAAAGATAATGTCGTGATTAAAAAAATAAAATATTCACAAAAGATGAGGCTAAAATGTGATTTGATTTAGCAATACCTACTACAGCTGCTGCACCCTACAGGGTGTCACAAAGTGCGAGCAAAAAACTTCGTCTTATTTTTGTGCCCTGTATATGCTCAAAATAAATTCGGAATAAAATTTTCTGACGTAGCATCCGTTAAGAAGGAATTAATTTACAATTTAAAAAATAATCATCAAAATCTAACGAGTGGTTCGCGAGAAATCCAACTCTGAAATTGGGACTAGTTTTTAGTGGCCGGTTTTTTTTGCCGGTGAGTATTATACTGAAAATTTCACACCTCTACTTTTCAACCAATAACATGCTTTAATGTTGACTAGTTACCATGGCAACTGAAAAAATTTCGGGAAATTTTTTCGAGGCGCCACGAAACTTTAGTGGAAATTTTTTGACAGTTGAAAAGGTAAACATAAGATCTACAATCATAATGTGAATGAACTACAATGTCTATATATTGAAATATTACCCATTTGAGTTTTAGCATTTGATGTAACTAAGGTTGGTAATATTTTTTATTTAAGGAAATATGTTAGATATACCTACATATGAATTTCTTCGAAATTGCCATGTTCTAAAAAAATATAGTTCTGCCGCCTTTATTTAACTAAAGCTGGTATTTTTCTATTTAACGAAATATGATGGATATACACTTGATTTTGATTTTCGGGTGTTATCTGGTTTTATATTTTCAATTTCTTCTTTAATGACTTGTTGGTTTACTTTTCCAAATCGCGACATTTCGCTATACACTTCTTACTCTACGTACAGACGTTTTAAAACTAGTAATAGCTTAATGACAGAATCGCAAACAAAAATGACAAAACACATAATATGTCAAAAACATCAATACCTTGGCCAACTTAACAAATTGAAATTATTTTAAAATGTCATGTTGGATTAATATTTTTTTTCAAATTTAGGTGTGAAATTTTCTTACCGAATACCACGCAAGCTTAAATTATTCCTGGAAATTTTCTTTCGGGCACGAATATTTTAGGAAAATTATCCCTCGTCTTCGACTCGGGATAATTTTCAAAATATTCGTGCCCTCAAAAAAATTTCCGAAAATAATTTAAGCTCTTGTGATATTATAAGTGAAAATAATTTAGACATATGGAGCAAGCACCATTATGATCCTAATTTCTAACAAAAAATCTATCACCGGTTCTTCATAAACGCAGTGGCGGATTAAGGGAGGGGGGGGGGCGGAAGGGGCGGCCCGCCCCGGGCCTCTTCTTTTAGAGGGCCTCCAGATCTTAAAAAGAATTTTTTTATTCAACTGTTATTTTTCTATTTTGGAAATTAAATTAAGGGGTATTTTTTTTTGTTTAGATTATCGAATAATTATTTTTTTTTATAAAGTTTTAAATTATGAATATAAACTTGAAACTGAATTTATTTATTTTAGCTATTAAATTATATTTCAATGGTTTTATTATTTATTTTTACTGAATAAACATTTTAAATTACAACCAATGCACGGCATAACTTGTATTCTAGCTGTCCAACCGATGAGCAGTGCCGTTTTAGTATAAAGGGGGCCACAGGACTGAGACAGCAAAGGGGCCCCTCGGATCTTGGACGGGGCTCTCACAAAATCGCGATATTTCTCTGGAACGGTCGAGAAAGTTTCGCGGCTCATATATGTGGAACAAATATGTGGTTGAGGATTGGAACCTTTGGTGTTACAACTGCAAAATAAAACACTAAGTAATTCCACAATACACCAAAACACTTTACTTTTGCACTGGACACGCGCATTTCGCTAACCATGTTAGTATCATCAGCAGATGATTAAAACTGAGAGTTTTATGTATTGTGGTGAATTACTGTTTTATTTTGCCACCTCTAATTTAGTTGACTATTTATTATTTATTGTTTTATTAAATCCAATTCCATTGAATAATATTCCATTGAAATGCCAAGTGTGCGGTACCAATTTATATGTAAAAAAATGCTTTTGCCAAATATACTAATGAGCCATTCTTGTTCCATTTGAAAAAAAATGATATATGATTAAAAATATAATTTGGGCATCTTTGAATCGGCAAGGACAAGACACGAAAAACATTAGAGGATCAAATCTATTTTTCCAAGGCTCCTTGATTAAAAATTAGTGTTTTAACACAACCGTGGCACCCTAGATTGAAATTCAAAAATACGATTTTGTTAAAAAAAATCGTATTGACATTTATTTCTCTTGAGTGTCATTTTCTATCGAACAAGTAAAAATATATTGAGGATGCCATTTAAAAATCAAAAGTTGTAGTCATTTCCGGTGAAACAAAAAGTGACCAAAACAGTTGAATACGTCAATCAATCATAATTTATGTCATATACTGAATGGTATGCCATTCAGTAAATCCCGTTTCTTTATGAACAAAAAAAAGTTATAGGAGTGAGCCACTTTTGAGACGCACTCAGATATACAAGGTGAGTCTTAAATCGGTGCAAATATTTTTAGGAGAAATATTTTTTGATTCGAAAAAGAATTGAAAATTTGGTATTTTTTGAAAAAATTTTTGGATTTTTTTTAGTTTTTATTTGAAAAACATAATTTCTTGATAATATGGCAACATAGGTAGTAGATTAAATTCACTAAAAAGAAAACCCAGAAAACCCCTGGATCTTTTCTGGGTTTTCTTCAAAATTTAAGCAAAAAATAATTTTTTTGAAAATTTTTAAAATAAAATAACTCGGTTATTTTGGACTTATTTGAATAATGGCAAAGAGAAAATATGTCCTTTTTATCGAGATCTACCAGACCTGGAAAATTTAAGACTCATCCTGTATATTTGAATTTTGTCAACCATTAGACATACATACGTCATTCAATTTTTACAAAATGTGCATTAGAGGTATATCATTATCTGAACAGACCGGGGGCCACATTTAGGTTTACCGCCTCGGGCCCCGACAGGCTTAGTCCGCCACTGCATAAACGTCTATCGTACCATGGCCTTGAATCACCCTCTATAAACTTGAAATTCCTAACTATTAACGTGTTGTCGTTGCCGTATTCATATTTTTTTTTAAACTTAATAAAATATGTTTATCTCTTATTTTTATTATTTGCAGGGATAGCTTTAAGAGTAGTACAGTGGTCTCCTACTTATGTTTTGGGACGACTGACATTCAGTGTCTATTTAATACACATGTCAGTAAATTTGGTGAAACCTGGCATGGCCAGATTTCCAACGTATGCTAGCGATTCTGTTTTGGTAAGTTTTTTTCCTGATGACTTTTAAAGGACCGAGCTAAAGTAATCGTAAAACAATTTCCGATGCACGTGATCACCTTTGAGTGATAAGCTATGGCGACAGCGCCACAATCGGGCATTGTGATTTATGAGATGAATCTTAATGTAAAATTAGAAAACAATATATTTTGTCCACGACCACTTAATAATAAATCAATATTCCATTTCCTAGCTGAAGGAATATGGTGCCCATATTTGTAATAGAGTGAAATATAACAGCTGATAACAGTGAATTATGATAAATCACACTTTGCATTTACTTTACATTTGTTGCTATGCCAACGTGACACTCACAACATCCCGATGCGCGGCGTGGATGATTTGACGTTTTCCTTATCTTTTCTTTTTAATAATTTTGACATTTAAAATTGTCAAACGTTAAGTAGGTAGTGATTATTAAGTGGCATATCAAGAACTCGACACCCTGTATAATTAATTTTATGTTTTTTTTTTCAGTTTATTACTTTCCTTGGAGATATAGCGTTAATATACATATTGGCTACGATCCTGGCACTTCTAGTGGAACTTCCAGTATCCCAACTACAGAAACAAGTTTTTTCATTTGAAAAAGTGAAAAAGACAACCACCGATAAAGAGGAGTAAATAGTGATATCTTTTTACCACAATAAATATATTTAATTTGATATATAATGCTTTTTATTTTATAATTATACCTATCCTTGCTTATGAGTTCCTTTGGCTAAGAGAAAACATTTCTAGAACCCCATATACATATGTTATATCAACATAAGATGAGATAGATTAGAAATATTACTAAAATATCGTGCTGTATTTAATTATTTATTTTTTTATTTATAAACAACTAGAAAAAAAAACCTAATTCTATTGAGTACTGACAAGGAGCTACAAAAAATGTAACATATTAATTTATAATTAATATATTGGCGCTAAAATAATAATTAATTTAGTATTTAAGAGAGTTGACATCAGTTTTTTTTCTTTATTAGTTTAGTTTTTGAGTATTAAACGATGTATGGCAATGACAAAGCTGAGAACAAATTATCTTAGATATTTTTTAGTACTTGTTAATTACAGTTATGGTCAGGTTACTGGTAAGTAAAGTCAAAACCTTTGCAATTTTTTTTCTTGAGCAATTTTTGATTTATTTCTGGGACTATATTGTGGAATGAATACAAAATGGTCATAATAGTCGTGCTTTTTTTTTAAGTAGAAACGATTTTTACCGACGAGGAATATGTATCAATGCCAGATTTGTTCTTTAATGACAATTTTGACAAATGCACGTTGTTAAGAGAAAAGTCATTCTATTGCTCTTTTACATACCAATTAGAACCCGTAGACCCATCAAATCCTCCAGAAGTATGGAACATAATACAGGTAATAAAATGAAACTAATTATTATCATCCTGTAGGTATATAAATGGTTACCTACATGTTGATACAGCGAAAATAATTGCATTTATTTGTCTACTCACCCTGTAACACTTTAAAACTAAATCTTAAATTATTTAGTAACGATTTATTTTAAGTATAGGAACATGTAATAATTAAAAAGTAACGAATTATAAACCCTTTTTACTAGTGAAAACAAAAATTATGATAATTTTTTAATCGCCCAATTCCATGACAGCTACGGCCAATATTATATGACATTCGAACAATTTATTTATGAAATAGACAGCCACACGTCTTTTCTTTATGTCACAGTGGCTGTGGTAATCATTAAATTTGACGTTTAGGCTATACAATTTTTTTTGACAGGCAGTTTTTTCATTCAAAAATTTTATTATTTTTTTTTCTCAAAACAAGTTAATGTTAAGTATAGAGTGTTTAATATCAAAATTCATAAAATTAACAAAATTAATTATAGAGAATTCAAATATATAATATAAAATATATATAGGGGTACCTACCCATTTAAAATAAGAAAGTTGCTGTTAACTTCCGTTATTACCGAAAGTGCCGCCATATAGAAAATATTTATAAATTATAGATCTCGTAGATACTGTAGTTCTCTCGAAACGTCTAATTCACGCTTGATGTAATATAATTCTCAATGAAATTTTGATGTAATGTAATTCTCAATGTAATGTATTCTCTCTCAATGTACAGGGTGTTCCACTAAGAATAGCTCTCGGCTGTATCTCGGAAAGTATTAGCCGTAGCGACTGCGGAAAAAAATATTTATAACTAAAGAGTTAAAGAATTATTTATTATTTTCAAGTTTGTAGAACGACCGCTAGGGGGCGCAACTGCAACAAAAAATAAGAAAAAGGAGTTTTTAAACAATTTTGCCTAGATAAGGTGTACTATAAGTAACAGCTTCATAATCTTCAGTAAATTTTGAATATTTTTAGTTGAGCCATTTTCCCTATCTACCAAAATAAAGTGGTGGGGGAGGGTTAGATCTGTTTTGATTTGAATATTAATAACTCTTTACTGGATGATCGGAATCCAACAAGCGAGGGCTTGTTTAAAAGAGCGTTTCTTACTCTATATTGTACAATATAAGCAATAATAATAAAGTTTTGAACGTAGACGCTAGGGGACGTTGTCTTATAATTTAACAAACATTGCGCGTTTTTTCAAAAAATTAAATGCAATACTATATGTAATTTTAGCTGATAGTAAAAATTAGTAAAAGCTTAAAAAGTCAGCGAAAACCGCATCTTGATATCTTCTTTCAAACCGAAGATATTAGCAAAATTATAATAAATACCAAAAAATCAGCCCTTAATTACCTTATTTTTACAACACGGTATCAGTAGCCCTCCTGGTTATGCTCATTCTAAACTAAAATAAGATAGAAATAGTTAGTTTATTTTAAAATAGATGATATTCCAGAATATCATACCAGATGTATTAATATCTAATAATTAAGATATTAATAATAGTGAACAAGAAACGATGATTCAGTGAAGTCATGGTAGGCTTTGGAAAAAAGTTGCTTTTGACATTTATACTATTACGCGAAAAGCAATGGAAATTTACCTATATTTAATTGTTAGTAGATTGCATGATAGAAAAGGAATGTTATATTATATGATGGAAAAAATTGAAATGTGTATTAAGTATACTATTGAGCATTACTTTTTAGCAGCACAACCGATTTTAACAAAATTAGCGACATTTAAAAATATATACTTCCTGAAACGTTAAGCATTTTGTCGGTTTGCGATAAAGATTTGGATAAGAACCATGCATTAAATATACATTGACCTAAAAATTAAATATAATAATTCGTTCCTTATTGTAATCGTTGTACGAACCCTTACACATTCACTAAAGTACCTTTTAGAAATTTCAATATGAAATATCTTCTATTTTTTCTATATACCCTGCTTCCAACTTATGGTATGATTTTGATAGTATAATATAGGTTTTTATACAAAAAAAAAACATTATATAGTTTGTCCAACGACAGGATACTTTACAGTGTTGTCATTTTAGTTCGCAGGTAAATTGCAATTTCTGTCATTTTTTGGATCTCGTCTGTCGAAATAGTTCCTGACTTGTTGGACATACTTTATATTATAGTGAATTTTGTTTAGTTTATTTTGATACAAAATTTGATCTTTTTCTTCCTGTTTCTTCAACGTCATCTGTCAATATCACTTATTCTTTCGACAATATATTTTATTACGAAATTCCAATATTACAGACATAAAAAGCGATATAATATATCTTCATAATTAGTGCTTATTGTCTATTTTATTTTTTCAGTTCTTTTAAAGCCTACTGAAGAAATATCTACCTTAAATTCAGAGGATTCGGTAGAAAGCCGTAAGTACTTAATATAATTTTTCCTGTAAATGCTTTAATATATCTAATTCATGTAATTTTTTAGGTGCTGGGATCGTAGATGTACTAAATCCAGCCAACTTGTTCAATTCTTCTAATGGTAATTAATTCAATCACAGTAATAAGATCTAAGATCTTTATCTGTCAGTAGGATATAAAATTAAGATCTCTACACTGTGTAAAACCCAGTATATTTTCAAAAGATTTTATGATCAAATTTCAGTTAAAAACATTGTGTTATATTAAAGATTTTCTTTGCTAGACAAACTTCATTTCCAAAGGGTCTTGTTGACGTCTTGTAGACTATTTTTATTATACAGTAGATTAAATTTATCGTGCAGTGTCAAATAGGTATGGAAATTACGATTATTGACCTCTAACTCTACATGAAAAACTTTAACTCTTGCACTGGACGCGCGTTTTGCTAACCTTGATAGCATCATCGGCACATGATTAAAACTAAACTAATATCTACATATTGAGCGTCTATACAGGGTTGTTCACCAAATACGACACGGAGTTTGTAGCTAAACGATGAGATTTTTACAAATTGTAAGTTTTGGGTTCGATGAAGGACTATTAGAGGTACAATTTAAAAATAATTTTACAAGATACAGAGTGTCCCAAATAAGTAAAAAATATCAGTTGTATTTTTTTAAATGGAACACCCTGTATATTATTACATTTCTAGTTTCTACGATTAAAATAAAGGTAAATTTGATTAAGATTTATTATACTTAAACCTTACCGTTTTTGAAATATTTTCAATTTTGTGAAATTGCAGTAAAAATTTTAAGGCTTCAATTCTCCAAGGGCATCAAAGTTTTGAATACTAAATATTTACTGAAGTTTACTTACTGATCAGTTATTATGTTGCAATAATAAAAATTATACTACCTTATACAGAGTGTCTAAAAATTTATTTTATATAATTATTAGCTTCAAACGGCAATAACTTGTTTAATTTAAATGGAACACCCTGTATATTTTACGAGAATCAGATGCACAATTTAATTGTCTATCAAATTATATTATACCATTTTTTACCTGTCTCTTTAAGTTTCCGTAGAAAATGCATTTTCTTGTAATTTAGAACTTATTTATCAATATACCCATGGACTATTGACATTTTAGATTATTTTTAAAGATGTACCAAATTTTTAAAGAGTACAGATACTAATATTGTCGATATAATTCGTTTATTTCGTTAAAAATAAAAAAAACACTGTTTAAATATTTGTTAAAAAGGATCAATTAATATGATTCCAGTATTCAAACTACATTAACTGACTGTTTGCGTTGATTAATAATAATTGCTCCAAATACTAAAAAACTGAATTTTGTATGGGCATTAGACAGTGTGATAAAAAGTAACACCTTAAAAATGATATTTCATTTTTTAATCAATGCTTATTTATAACAACAGAGACTTTAATTTGATAACTTATTATTATATTGATTTCTGACTCAAATCCACATTTATTTATAATAATATATTAACGAACACAATTAAGTATGTAATTCATTAGTATATGGGCGGAAATAATGGTGTTATATTTAATTTTAATGGTATACTCTTTTATAAAGATTTAAATAGTTTTCTTTTTGCATACAAATGGGCTAGTAATATTATCGTTTTGCTAAAAACGATAATATTACTAGTCTGTACATTTTGTACATTTGTTGCTTTAAAAACAATCTAAAATGTCAATATTCCATGGATATATTGATAAATGAGGTCTAAATTATAAGAAAATGAATTTTCTACGAAAACTTGAAGGGATAGGTAAAAAATGGTATAATACAATTTGATAGACAATTTAATTGTGCATCTGACTCTTTTAAAATATACAGGGCATTCCATTTAAATTAAAGAAGTTATTGCCGTTTGAAGCTAATAATTATTTAAAATAAATTTTTAGACACTCTGTACATAAGGTAGTATTATTTTTATTATTGCAACACAATAACTGATCAATAAATAAACTTCATTAAATATTTAGTATTAAAAACATTGATATCCTTGGAGAAATGAAGTTTTAAAATTTTTACTGCAATTTCACAAAATTGAAAATATTTCAAAAACGGTAAGGTTTAAGTATAATAAACCTTAATCAAATTTACCTTTATTTTAATCGTAGAAACTAAAAATGTAATAATATACAGGGTGTTCCATTTAAAAAAATACAACTTAACAGATATTTTTTATTTATTTGGGACACTCTGTATCTTGTAAAAATATTTTTAAGTTGTAGCTCTAATAGTCCTTCAACGAACCCCAAACTTACAATTTGTAAAAATCTCATCGTTTAGCTACAATACTCCGTGTCGTATGTGGTGAACAACCCTGTATACCCTATGATTAATAAAAACCAGGTCAAGTTATCTAAGAAATATGCAATCGATGACAATTCTAAAGTGACTTGGCACCACCTTTATTTATATGTATTATAAAAATTTTATATTTTTTTGTAGATAATAAAGATAATTCTATCTTAAAACCACTACAAAGTTTAACGCAAATAAATAATATGGGAGACACACTAAAGGATACCAAAATCTTCTTTGCCTCTATCCAAGGACTTGTGATGCCTGGTAATGTTGCGACAGCTGGCATTAGTAATTTTTTCAAGTATTTTGAAGGCATTCAAAATATCCCTAACGTGAATATCTTTAATCAAAATAAGACATAACAGATATTGTATTACTAATGTATCAGTAAAATATTGTATACCTGTATAATAAATATGGATTTTTATACAAACCCATTACCTATTTATAACCAAAAGACTAAATATCTATCTTGTTGCTTTTATAATTTAGAATTTAGAACTTGTGTTGTGTACAAGCTTAATATTGTCAATTTTAAATACTCTTGTTGTACAATTTGACCAAACCTTTTCCCTGTTAAAGGAAAGATTTATCAGTTAACAGTAAATTAATACCTACAGTATTGGCTATAAGTGGATGAACTCTGTTAAAATAATGTTTTTTTCTGATATGTTTAAAATTAAAATTTGAGCTATATTTATTTCAAGTCAAGTGTCAGTATATATAAAAATAAATAACATTGTTTTTTTAAAATTTGCTTTAATAAGGTAGCAAAAAATTTAAATTAAAAAACCATTGGACAAAAGTAGATGAACAAAATATATATTTGATAAAAAAAAATCTTATGTTAACAAAAAGTGAAAAATGAACTTATAATTTACTAGTATTATACTTAGTGTAACCCTTATTCTTAATTACTTTCAGACATCGCTTAGGCATAGATCCCAGAAGATTTTCAATTATTGAAAAATCGATATTTTTCCAAGACTCTTCCAAAGCTGCAAATAATTCTTGCTTATGTTTGTAGAATGTGGTCCTAATGTGTTGATCCAAAATTTCCCATAAATTTTCTATTGGATTCAGGTCTGGGGATTGCGATGGCCATTTGAGAACACTCACCATTTCATCTTCCAAAATCCTTTTAACCAATTGTGAGGCATGTTTCGGGTCGTTATCATGTTGGAAGTAGTGTACAACTGGCATTTTTTCCTCCAAATAAGGCACTAAAAGGTTTTGTAAAATGTCTTTGTAGCCAAACCGATCCATTATGCACTCAATTTTATGGAGAGGCCCATCCCATATCCAGAAAAACAGCCCCATACCATGATTGAGCCCCCACCATGTTTTACAGTGGGTCGCGTGTACTTTGGTAGCAATCGTGTGTTGGGAGGGCTTCTTACATGTTGAATTCCATCTGATGACACCAAATTAAACTTTGATTCATCACTAAAACAAACTTTTTTCCATTGTGCCACAGTCCAGTTTTGATGTTCCTTAGCAAATGCTAATCGTGTCTTCAATTTTTTTTTTGATAGCAGTGGTTTCTTGGCGGGTCTTCGGGAAAACAACTTCTAGTTAACTAATTTACGTCGGATCGTCCTTGTACTCACTGGTGGATAGCCCATTTCTTCAAGTTTTGCTTTTATCTTCGTTGACGGCAAAAATGGATCTTGTGAAGAAATTCGTTTTATGGCCTTTATCACATTGGGACCAACTTTTTTAGGTCGTTCTGGTTTTCTTTTTATAGAGACATCTCCTCTCTCATTATATCTCTTTAAAATATAATGTACCTCTGATTTTCCAAGGCGTTATTGCTTAGCGATTTCCGATTGCTTCAAACCATCCTTAAAAGCATTCACTACCCGCAACTTAAGATCTGCAAACAAGTTAATTCCACGTGGCATGATATATCACAAGAGTTCAAATGTTTTTAAATCGCAATTGTTCATAAAAGCAGAACAAATGAAACTAACGATTTTTAAAAATATTTGGTTCTTCTACTTTTGTCCAAGACAAAAAAGCAACATTTGCCAATTCTTATCTATAACTGATAAGACTAACAGAAGAATTTATATTTGTTTGTAGTATTTTGGTGAGAATATATTAACCTTTTAACATACAAACGTACATAAAGTAATTTTGATATTTAACACCTCAAATCTGATTTTCTTCGCAATTATTGGTATTGGTTCATCCACTTTTGGCCAATACTGTACATTTCTTAATTATTTATCAACTAATGAAGGAGCATAAGTACCATTACACTTATTCATAATTTATTTTCATTTTAAATCATTTTTTCAAACCTTGTTGTTTTTCATGCCAGAAGAATTGAATTTTGTCGCAATTCTAATATACCTACCTTTTATTAAGATAATTAAACTAAGCATCTTATGTATGAGCACTTTTAATTGATATTTTATGTTGATTAAATAATAATTGGTAGACAGTGCACAATACAAAAATAACAATTTTTTACATTAATGGATCATCGATATTGATGTCTTTGAAGCCACAAAATTTAATTTTAAGTATTTTAGTACCAAAAACGGTATGAAATGAGAAAGTTAAAAGAAAATTTACTTTTGGTTTTATTTGTTTTTATTAAATACAATTATGGTCAAGTGACTGGTAAGTAAAGTTTTTATTGTATAGGAATTAGGTATATTTCTTATTACTATAGGAATTTTGGTATTTTGTAATAGTTTTCGTGGTTAAATCTTATAACAAAACTTTAGATTTCTAGATTTCAACTTAAATTTTTTGTTTTCTATCATTAAAATAAACTATTCTTTTTTGAAAACAAAGAAAAATTTCTAATGCCCTGTAGATAAAATGAATTTATCTACAACCGTTTAGTTATAACGTTTTTACATCACTATTTTTTTAGTATTTCAGTTACGTTAGGAGATTCATAATACAACTAGTGGTGTTATGAATCTATAACCATAGATAAAAGAAAATAATCTACTATTAAGATAGATATGAAACTTAATAGTAAAATTTTGGGTCAAAGCGCCCCTCCGTGTTTTTAGTGGAGACTACGTTTAACCCAGCGCCTTCGCCTTCCCAACTAACATTTTTTGTTTTATAATGGTAATGGTTACGTTTCGGTAACCTACTTAATAAAACCTAAGAGCTTATCAATTGTTCGCGAAACGTTTTGGTTACCCTTATAACACCCCTATAGCACTTAAATGGAGAATCTTATAAAGGTAACGGTGACCAAATTTTAGTAACTTTTAAATCCTTTAACGTGACCTTTACTCTCCATTTATTGGTAACTAAGAGGTTGTCGTTACCTTTATAAACCACAAATAAGTTTTATAGCGGCAAGGAATACATTTTCGTTACCGCTTTAAAACCTTTAATATTCCTTATAATAGCTATTATAAACTTCCTGATCTTACGGTGTTTATAAACACCAAAATAAAAAACGCCCCTTTTTAGTTCATCTCTTTCTACAACGTTTGTTTGCAATATATTCTATTTCAAGTCCTTGTCATTATTATTCTGCTTGTTCTTTAAATTTGACAGCAATGGATTTTCACTTTGATGAAAATGGCGTATTATAATAATTATCATAACAAATTAAATACTCTGTAAGAATTCTATGAGGACTAAATTTTATTGGCACGGAAGATTTATCGAGTAATATTAACATTTTACCCTTCTTAAAACTAAAGCGCCTCCGTTTAGAACTCAAATATAATTTATTTTGTAAAAACCAAAAAATTAAAATTACGTCTCATGATTTGTTTTTTTTTGCAAATAAACTGCGCAACATTACTTAACCTCATGCTTTTGAAAAAATACGTCTTAAAGCTTCGTTAATATTGCTTAAAATGCAATATTCTTCTTTTTTGTGTAAGTACAACAACAGAAACATAAAATGGCCGTCTTATAAAAGGACGTCATGTTCGCCATTTCGCCTTTTAAAAACCTCTAGTTTTATATGGACCTTTAAGTAATCATCAGCACCTTAAAAACTCTTATAACTCTTTCCTAGGTGGGAATTTTGCTCTTGCAATAAAACCTAAGGTGCTTTTGTGATACTTAATAGTTTTATTAGTTACCAAGAAGGTATTTATAGAAACTTGACCATTGACCATAACCCCACTTTGTTTCGGGCGTTTTGGCTTTTGCAAAACAATTTTTTAATCTAAATAATTAAAACAAAGCCCTTCAATGCACTTCAAAATTGTCCACAGAGGATGAAAAATCAACACCGTCTTTGACCAATTTTCCCTGATATCTATACATTCTTCCAAAGGTCCTTCGCCCCTTCCTTCATCATCAGTGGCAGTCGATTCAGTCGAATTATTTGGCAATATATCTTCTTGAGGAACGTCTAAGTTTTGGTAATTTTTAGTAGTTGTGGGTGGTGTGCTTTCCAAAATATTTTCACGGGTTTTAACGCACTTTCTATAAAAACTGCTACTGTATTTACCTTTTTTCCAATTTTTTCTTTCTTCTTCCATCTTTAATTTACAAAAGTAAAACAGGAACATAAAACATAACATAACCTTAAAAATATAGCGCCCCCTATTCTACACATGAAAGGAGTTGCTACTGGGCCTATAAGTTTTATAAAATTCTTTAGGTTTTGTAGTAACTGTAGAATATTTATTAGGTGCCTTAGGATTTATAAGGGTTTTACAAAGTAAGCTATAAAACCCCAAGAGTAAAAGTTTTATAATAAGATTTTTAAGAACGCTATAAAACCCTTTTGAAAAAACCTTAAGTAACCAACACCAAAGGTTTTATAAATAAGGTAACGAAAACATTTTGGATGCAATATTATAAAACTTCAAGTATTTTGGTATTTTTTCGAGGTGTTACAAAACTTTTAACATCAATAGTGTTCTTATAAGACTTTAAACACTCTTTAAATGTTAAGGTTCCTTATAAACCTCTTATAAATACCCGTTACCTTTTAATAAAACTTTAGGCTCCGAAAAATGTTACTTGGGTTTTCTGCTCTAAATGTTTTTTATGTTTATATTTGAATTCAAAGTATTTATTTTTAAAGTTACACTGATATATTAGTATATCAGAGTAACTTTAATAAAACATAAGAACATATCTATTTTACAATTTATTTTTTTATTTATTTTACAGAGTTTCATGTAAATGATCGTAAGTCGACTGGCGGTCTAATGAATAGACCGAGATTTATAGATCTTAAAGCGAACGAAAAAAAATCAAACAACGAATACATACCATATATTTTTCTTTTATCTAAGATACATACCTTATCGTCTTTTGGAAACACGTACATTTTTGCAGTTTTGTTAGTTTCTTTGCAAGATGCAACACAACAAGAAAACACCATTTTTACAGTTAAAAAATAATAAAGCTATTTCTGACTATGATATTTAAACTTTAGATAGATAGCAA